TACAGCCATCTCTTTCACATCAAAAACGTTAGAAAAGGACAGCAACACAACAAATTGACATACTTTTCAAGCCAATTTATTAATGGAAATTGTTTTTTGTTGACTTTAAGGATTCTTTGAAACGTTTATTAAATCAGGGCGTTTTACCGTTTCGACAAATTTCGTCTGGGCGTTTATGTTTTGCAAGTTGACAATATACCTACTCGTATATATCTATGTATACGCCTCGATAGTCTAGTGGTTAGCATGAACAGCTGAGGATTGTGAGGTCATGGGTTCTGGTTCTGGGTAGGCCAAATAGTTATTGGGGGCTTCTGTCACCAAATACTAAGTAGCAACTCTGTATTCAGAAGTCGGTGATGTGTACACCCCCATGCATTAGAGCACTTTTAAGTTGTCGTTCTTGCGCCTTATCTCGATATCTCTTTCTACCCTTGCTTCGCTCAACCTTTACTACAAAGCATATAATTCAGGACTTCGTTGTTTTCATCTGTTTTATTATTCATATAAACATCTCGTAGGAGCAATCCGACTTGCGGAGAGTAAATAATAATGGATATAAAATATTTGTGCTAACTGAAATACAAAAGATCTAAAAGGCAATGGATAATAATCCCTCAACAATCGCGGACACGCCGGCGTTACAGTTAACAATAGATTTCTTCGAAATTTAATTAATTTCTTAGAAATTTACCTGGAGGTGATAAAAGAGAGAAAGCGGAATCGAGCTACCATAGAAACTTGGAAAGTACTCAAGAAGGACAAAATCGATTATTCCCTTTCCCTTGACATGAAGTGTTGGAAAATTTCGGCTAAATTGGGGTTTCTCCGATAGTCCCATAAAATACTCTACCTTCAAGATAATTTCGTATTAGAAAAGTTTGTAAAATAGATAGTAAAGAATTTGGAAAACCACTGGTTTTTACTGAGATATAATTCTATAGGGTCCAAAAATATTATTTTCTTCTCATTGACACCTTTCTATTCGAATACTTAAAAGCTGGTCATTGTTTGCAGGAAATTTGCAAACTGTCAGACATTCAAAGAATTCTAAAAAGTCTCATCTTCATTCTCTCCTCCAAACAACAAAATATTCAGTTGTTTACAACTACACAAAATTAAATACGATTCCAATAGTAACAATGCGTTCTGCCAGAATTTATCAATTATCCCAAGTCAGGCATGTTGCCAGACACTCGCCCTTGCCCCTGACATGCACTGATCATTGTACGTACACGTGGATGTGCGATTTGTATTCTAGCCTTTATATAAATTTTTATCTGTGTTTATATTTAGCTTTTGATCGACATTTGTGTGTATGTTTTTGTGTGTAATTCTCAGGATAGTTTCTCTAATTGTAAGATCATTTCCGTCATTTTCCTGTTTAAATGTATGAGTAAATATACGAGTACAAGTCTAGGTTTATTTAAAGTGGTGAAATTTTAGGTTTCCATAAGGGTGAGATGTTTAATTTGGTGGTATTTTTACCCCTAAAATTTAGAACCAGTGTATTTTGTTGTTAAAAATTGCTTACGATTCTTTATACAAGTGAATGGGTTACAGCACTGAAGAAACAGATCGTCATGATTTTTTCTATAGAGATTATTATAAACAAAAATAAAAAACACATACGTAAGTGGCTTTTTCTGTGTATCAAGACTTTCCTGACGTAACAGTCTACTGCAAAAAGTAACATATAAACGATTGTATTATACACAATTTATGCAGTATAGCCACTGGAAGCTAATAATAGAAGCATCATTATAATACGCTTATTATGAAGTGGCTCATCTTATAAAATAATTTACGACTAGGGCCCTACCCTCCCGTCGCCCTAGCGTTACGAACGTATAGAGTAAAAATATACAAGAAACATTCATTTTATTTATATAAGCCAATTTTTGCTCGCGGCTCCACTCGCGTAGTTTATTTTATGTATAACTAGCCTACTACTACCTACCTTGACTAACTACCTTGATTCCCCAAGTAAACTTTCATCCCCATTTTCACATCCTTAACGGATGATTTAAAGGATAAAAAGTATCCTATGTTCTTCTCAAGGTCTCAAACTATCTTCTTACCAAATTTCATCTAAATCGGATAAGTAGATCCAGAGATTACCCCCTACAATGTCACAAACTCACAATTCACAAACTTTACCTCCTTATAATATTAGTATAATTACTCCGGTCCTAAGGGCAGTAGCGTGATGTTGCTATAACCTAAGTGAATAGACCGTAAAATTCTTACAGAAATCTTCAAATCAGACTGGTTTTTTCACAGATTGGCACGCTAAAACAAACATACCAAAAAAATCTGTAATAAATTTTATGGAGAACTATTTGGATGCGGGAAAATAATTATACACCGACCGACCGATTGACACTTTTTAGCAAATTACAAAGTATCCTATATACTTCCCAAAGTCTCAAACTATCTTCGTTTCAAATTTCATTTAAATTGGTTCTGTAGATTCAGAGATTACCCCCTACAAAGTCACAAACTCATAAACTTTACCTCTTTATAATATTAGTATAGATAACCTATAATATGTTCCTCCAGGTCATTGACTATCTGTGCTCTAAATTTTATCTTAATCCGTTCAGCCGTTTGAACGTGAAAGGATAACAAACAAACTTTTGACGTTTAAATCACCTCAAATCATTTCAAGTCATCAAAGTCCTAAAAGGTTAGTCAACAAGTTGAAAAATGTTTTCTTGCTACTGCGAATTAAAACACGTGCGACTTGTTGGATTTGTTATGACGTCTAGAAAAATGTGCAAAATCTTCAAACCTGCCCATAAACATTTGCAAAAGTAATATAATAAACAATTAAAGATTAAAAAACGGGTCTGGTTTTTATACAAATTACTTAAAAAATATTGGTGCTGCAGAATTTTTAAAAACTAATTCTTACAGAGGAGAAAATTTTCGAAAAAAATGTGGACAACCGAAACTTGACCTCTATCTTACTAATATTATAAATGTGAAGTTTGTATGTTTAGTGTTTGGATGGATGTTTGTTACTCAATTACGCCAGAACGGCTGAACGGATCTGGATGAAATTTGGCGCAGAGATAAATTATAGCCTGGAATAGCTTATTATCCTGGAAAAATGTACGGTTCCCGCGGGATAGATTTGGTTTTGTTTTTCTAGAGGTGAACCCGAGCGAAGCGAGGGTGAGCCGCTAGTTATTAATAATTTTTGTTTAATGTTGAAAATAGGCTTCCGCGTTGCTAGTGCAGTGCCGAAATGCCTTGAAATCGGCCGCTAATCGTAAAACAATTCGTGTTATTAAATATTGATTTAAAAATTTTCAAAAAAATACTGTCTTTTAAAACGAAAAATATCTGTCGGAAATATTTTTTGTCGTGCATTTTTCTTATTAAAATAACCTATTGTTATTTTATTACAATATAATTTTTTAATTTAACTATTTTTTTAAACTGTCGTGTACATTTTAAGCAAAAGCTTTTAAAATTATTTCGCTTCCTGGAGATTTTTTGGTAACTAAATATACTTAATAAAGTTATCCGAATGCGTTATTTTGAATTGTTATGAATTATTTATGTAACAAAAAAGGTGGCTGACATTTTTTTTAAAACAACTTTTTTTTATAACAAATACTAGCTACTCACCCTCGCTCCGCTCGGGTTCGTCCCTGGGGTGGGGTTTGGGAGGACCACCCTTATCCTTATCACTTAGGGGTATGGAAAATAGATAGTAGCCGATTCTCAGACCTACTGAATACGTATATAAAATTTGGTAAAAATCGGTAAAGCCGTTTCGGAGGAGTACGGTAACTAACATTGTGACATGGAAATTTTATATATAAGATTTTTTTAAACTTTACCACCACCAATTTTGAGTAATTGGTAAAAAAACTAGATCCCTCTTTTTGAAATTGTTTATGTGCGGGTTTGAAATTTTTGAACATTTTTCTAAACGTCATAGCGAATCTAAGAGTTTTTTCGCAGTAAAAAGAATTAAAACGTTTTCCAACTTGTTGACAAAATTATAAGATTATTTTCGTAAAATCTCAAAAAACGTCAGATTTGCTTGCTAATTAAATTATAAAGAAGAATAACAAAAATACGAGCATATGTTTTTTTTTTTCTATCTATATAACCTTGAATCCAATTTGCTTACAAAATTGTTATGACGCATTTAATTTTTTTGTAATTTATTAGTACCGCTGCTTCTTTTGGAGATCCTTCTCAGGACTGAGGTATTTTGAGAGAGTTTTTGACAAACAAGTTTTTTTTGTGAAATACCATGAAGGGTATAATCTCTTAAACATTTTGACGACACGTTTGGCTCAGTTGGTAGTGACCTTACTTGCTGTGCCAGCGATCGCGGGTTCGAGTCCCGCTGGGGGCATTCGTTTGTGTGATGAGCACGAATGTTTGTACTCTAGTCATGGGTGTTTATATTTATGATATGTATGTATTTAAAGTTATATATATGTAGTGTATCAACTATCTGGTATCCATAACACAAGCCTCGTAGCTTACTATGGAACTAGATGGCGCTGTGTGTTAATGTCCCAACATTTATTATTTACATTTATTAATCAATTTAACTAGTTTTTTTAATGTTAGGTACACTATCACTATAAATATATGTTATTTTTTACGTAAACAGAGCCCTGAGAAAAGTCTCGTCACCCAGTGTATGTATGTTAATAACACAGACTATCTGGAGTAACATAATGTTGACCCGGATAACCAGCAATCACCATACCAAATTTCATCAAAATCTGTCCAGTGGTTTTCTCGTGATGCGGTAACAGACAGACAGATAGACAGACTAAAATTCTAAAAACCATAGATTCGGCCTCTGTATCGATAATAATGTTTATTTCAATAAGATTTTCCAAAAAATATTTAATGTACAGATTCGACTTAGTTACAATTTTATTATATGTATAGATAACATAATATTACAGATAGATTTATTTATGTATGTTTTAATTTATGGCGTTTTTACAGAAACCAAGATGCAACCAAATCGACCTTTTTTCGGATCTCACTCCGATACTTCGGCCATTAATGTAAAACATTTGGTGAGGCTTTGCCTTAAATGTATCTAATTAACCTGATTGTTTGACGCTTTTCCTAATAAATTTTCTTTTTTTTTAATACATAGATGTGTAGAAATGACGAAGGTTTTTGTGTTTTTTTTACTAACGTTTAGGAATGTTTGTGTGGATTTTATAACGTGGATTCTTTTTTTGAAAATCATTTCATAATTTTAACGGCTCGTTTGGCTTAGTTTGTAGTGATCCTACTTGCTGTGCCAGCGGTCGCGGGTTCGAGTCCAGCTGGCAGTTCATTTGTGTGACGAGCACGAATGTTTGCACTCCAGTCATGGTTGTTTATATTTATAATATGTATGTATTTAAAAGTTATATATGTGTAGTGTATCAACTATCTGGTATCCATAACACAAGCTCGTAGCTTACCATGGAACTAGATGGTGCTGTGTGTAAATGTTCCAACATATTTATTTATTATTATTTATTTATTATTTACTTTAAATAAATTTTCATAAACATACTAGGTTAATTAGAAAATTATTTTGTTCCCAAAAGTGATGTCACTAAAAGTTAGATTTCTAATAGCTAGATTGCTAGAAATCTGGATTCCAAACGTTAGGTCGTTAGGTTATATACTTACTGCTTTGCTCGTTTGCGATCCTCGATGCTCTGAGAGCTGATAAACTACTTCAGATCATAGTCTATCTCTGTACTAAACTTTATCCAAATCGGTCCAGCCGTTTCAGGGTTAAGAAGTGACAAACATACACTCATACACATTTTCGTATTTTTGATAATAGTGCGATTTGATGCATCAGAATCGAGTATATGAGGAAGCTATTGGCTAAAGAAGCAGTTATGCTGAGAACAGATCAAAAGAAAACGCAACACAGCTTTTCAATGTTTAGTTATAATTTTTTTAATACATAATTGTAGCTATTTCAAATACGAGTCGATATCTTAACACATTCGACAAAAAGCTTGTGAAGAGATATTATGATTTACTTAATAATACATTTTTTTTGAAATATTTACCATGTGCGGGAATCGAACCTGGAAATTCAGTCTAATCTCTATAACCATAGCTATACGATGCTTCAATGTCTTATTATATCCTAGCACATACATAATATGTATATTAAATATTTATCATTGAAACACGTACTATAATACGTTTTTGTTAAACTTCAAGTAACTTAATTACTTCTAATAAGTTTTTATAGCATTTTATTATGACATTAAATAATAAAAGGTCGCAATAATAATTAATTTTATGATTATACTAGCATTTCCCGCGGCTCCGCCCGCGTTCAGATGATCAAAAACCAAATTCTTAGGGTTTACATATTAGTATACTCTTACATTGCAGTTTTGATATTTTTTTCTCAAAAATGAGATATTTTCCCGCGGTAAAAAGTATCCTATATGTTGACCCGGATAACCAGCTATCACCATACCAAATTTCATCAAAATCCCTCCAGTGGTTTTTCTGTGATGCTGTAACAGACAGACAGACAGACAAATATTCTAAAAACTATACATTCGGCCTCTGTATCGATAATGTTTATTTCAATAAGATTCGGCTTGGTTACAATTTTATTATATGTATAGATTAAATAATAAAAGGTCGCAATAATAATTCATTTTATGATTATATACCTAATACTAATGACTTAAGCTTGCTTCGCTCTGGTTCGTCCGTCGTTCGTTTTAAGTTCCTTGAGCGGAACCCTAATTCTTTTTCTAAAATAAAAGTAGCCTTAGTTACTCCTTATAACATCAGCTATCTACCAGTGAAAGACCCATCAAAATCAGTTTAGCCGTTTCAGAGCTTAGCTAAATCAGACAGACAGACAAAAATTTTAAAAATTGTGTTTTTCTTATAAGTACCGTATATAATTTCATATGCATTCAGTAAAAATAAATTGACATTACAAACAGACACTTCAATTTTATTTATCTGTATAAATTGTACCAGTTTACTAATCCTTAAAGTCGTCTAACGTAGGGCCATACGGGGCCTTTGGGCATACTACAATTTAGGGCAATAAAAAGTGAATGATAAAAAAGTGTACTACAAAAATTAAAAAAAAAATAGATGGCGTAAAGAAGTCAGCTATATATATACATTCTACATATAGATGAAAAAAGTTTACGACGGAGCACTATTGTTGCATTTGGCAGGATATCCGTTAAAATCAGTAAGATAGGAGCACTCTATAAAATTTTTACTGTAATAATTATACTTAAAAAAGCCTTGTGTGTATAAATCTAAACGAAAGGTCGGATAAATAAATATTTTGGCACATTAACACACAGCACCATCTAGTTCCATGGTAAGCAACGAGGCTTGTGTTATGGATACCAGATAGTTTATACACTACACATATATAACTTTAAATACATACATATTATAAATATAAACACCAATGACTGGAGTACAAACATTCGTGCTCATCACACAAATGAACGCCCCCAGCGGGACTCGAACCCGCGACCACTGGCACAGGAAGTAGGGGCGCTACAAACTGACCCAAACGAGTCGTCACTCAAATAATTAAGAGAGGAATTTACATATACATACAACATATACATATATATTATATATGTATAAACATAATCCACCTTGATTTTGAAACTAGTTGGACAAGGTCTAAGAATAATATATTGATACGAATACCATCATTCGCGATTTTAAAACGACATCTTGTCTAAGGCCTCTTTATTACAAACTTCAGTTGGCCTCAAAGAGTGTTTGATCACAGTAAGAAATAGGACCGTTTGGCAACAAAGAATATTTCGAGTTGACTAATCGTTTTCCGTACAAAATGTATGGGAAAAGTTTTTGGCGATTTTTGTAATTTTTAGTACTCATACCTTAAATGATTCTATAGAGTCTTTTGATCCCTACATGAAATAGGATCGATTGACATTAAATAAAAGTGTTTTGGTATTTTAGCATTTTTTTCGCTAACTGTATATTTTTTCCAAAATCTGTAAATACAGTTTAGAATATCTCATAAAGTTATGGATGGTCTCCTTGGAACGTTTTCCTGTAACTATAGCAGTTAAAGTACCTGCCCTTACTGTACCGTCTCAAAAATCCACCCTGTATAGTATAAGTATTATATTATATGGGATTATATATGGGATAGTATAGTATTATATGGGATTCGTCAAAACGAATTAAATGAGCCCAAACTCGACTTCACTAGTAACTATTAAAGAGTGCCACTATCCACATCTTGGCCATATCAGATCAGATCAGCACGATGATATCAAATTATTGTATATTTAGATTTTACACCCTCGGAAACCAAGTTAAGCGGATTCAAATCCCGGGTCTCGCATTTCGGACATTTTCATATACGAGTCATTTTCAACATGATTAACACTTATGGTGAAGGAAAACATGAGGAAACCTGCATGTCTAAGAGAACCTAGCAAGTTTTCGAAAGACATGTGAAGTCCGCCGCCAGTGGCCGTGGCCAGCGTGGTGGAATATGACCAGATCCCCCTCGTATTGAAGAAAGGCCCACCCCCAGCTCTGGGTCTTTAAATATATCACCTAACAAGCCTATTAAAGTTCTCATCCTTAAAGATATTTATTTCTATAAAAATTACATCAAAATCGCCATAGCCGTAAATAACAATTAGACAGACGCTTGTCATTTATAAACTAGTATGACTAGATGACGTACATGAAAATGATAAGCAAGTAATTCAAATATATTGAACTCTGTTAGTAATGTTGTATCTAGGATCAATTACATATATGAGACTACTTTAAAAGTTAATATACGTACAAGGATATTGTCTTAAATAAATAGATATAGACAAAACCGTTCAGTTTTTCTCATCTGTTTGTCAACTGGTTTTTTTTTTGGTTTAGTTAACGAGCTTTTGGTCCGGGAGCCCGGTAAAATATTTGGTCGATTATTTCCTCTCAAGCGATAATTAGTAGAATGTATCAGAGAGTTGTATCATAAAGCTTTGTGAACGTCAGCTGCTGCTCCGTGGGTGGGATCAGCGGCGTTAGCCTCCCACGTACGAAAAAAAATACAACCATTGCCTCTTATCTGAAAGTTTGTTAAAATATTGCTTACCCAATATCTCGACGAAAGAAAACAACCAGCTGACTATAATATGGTGGATTATACGTCAGCTGGTCGCTCGAACGCGTAAAAAAATTAAACTTTTAATGATTTGCTCTCAACTGAAAATTTATCTGATGGTACCTTATATGCAACTCGCTCTGTGCCTCGGTGGTGTAGTGGCTAGCATGTACGGCTGCACACTCGGAGGTCCTGGGTTCGAGTCCCGGGTCGGGCCAAGTTTAGTTATTGAGTCTTTCTGTATAGTAAGTCTCAGTAAAAGCCCGGAGTTGGGAAGCTGGCGGTGTTTCACCCCCGTGCCTCGGAGAGCACGTAAAGCCGTCGGTCCTGCGCCTTAACTCTCATTGGTCGTGTCGAGCAGTCGTCCCACCGGAGTATGAGAGTGACAGGAATAGAGAGTGCACGTATCCTATATGTTGACCCGGATAACCAGCTATCACCATACTAAATTTCATCGAAATCCCTCTAGTGGTTTTTCTGTGATGCGGTAACAGACAGACAGACAGACAAAAATTCTAAAAACTATAGATTCGGCCTCTGTATCGATAATAATGTCTATTTTGATAAGATTTTCAAAAAAATATTTAATGTACAGATTCAGCTTAGTTAGAATTTTATTATATGTATAGATAACAAATAAAACAACATTGATTTGTATGGAGATAATTTATTCTAAGGTTACGAATGATATGTCAAGGATTCATTTGACTTCATTTATAGTCACATTATGCGGGTGTTTTGCTGACGTTGGTCTATTTCACTCTAATTTTATGTTAAAATACGTATGAAAAGGCTCGATGGGTGATATAAGTGAAGCACAGTTAAAAGCTTGTTTATTATATTAGTTTATACTAATATCCATACTAATATTATAAATGTGAAAGTGTGTTTGTTTGTTTGTCTTTCTTTCACGTCGAAATGGAGAGACGGATTGGCGTTATTTTTTGTGTGTAGATAGTTGGAGGGCTGGAGCGTAACATAGGCTACTTTTTACCGTGAGAGATTATCTAATTCCCACGGGAAAACACGTTATAATACAATCCAAAAAAAATATATGATCAGAATTACTTGAATCTTGACATTAATGCGCTTCAATAAAATTAAATAAATACGTGTTTTAGCATTTTTCCAAATTCATTCTATAAGAGGGTATATTAGAGAATGAAAGTTTGTATGAAACTACCTTATTTAGATTTTTTTTTGTAGTTTTAGGGCAAGTGAATTCGCGGGTTCTGCTAGTTATAAAGAGGCGAATTTTGTTTGTTTGTATGTAGGTGGTCATTTCTAAAATTACTGATCTGGTTCTGTAAATTCTTTCACTAACAGGAAGCTATGTTACCGCCGTGTGCTACTTGTTTATTGTCAGAAATCATAATAATAACTTTCAATTCAATTCTCACGTTAATGGCTTCAAAGCTTGCCATTTGAGAACAAATTATTTCTCCACTCTACGTGACGGAGAATGGAGAAGACACGAAGGAGATTTTTAATTTGTTAACTTTTAGTTGCTTTAATGGACTGTCGATCGATCAATGATGAGAAATAAATCTACCTATATTAATATAAATTTGAGTTATAATACTAATAATGTATTGTATATATAGACAACTAGCGACTCACCCTGGCTTCGTTCGGGTTTGTCCCTAGGTTGATTCCCCATACAAACTTATATCCCTATTTTTACAGGATTAAGGAATGATTTCCGGGATAGAAACTATCCTATGTCCTTCCTAGAATCTCAAACTATCTTCTTGCCAAATTTCATCTAAATCGGTCCAGTAGTTTCGGAGCTTATTCGGAATAAACAAACAAAAAATCTCTCCTCTTTATAATTTTAATTAGATTAGACTAAGTGCCAAAAATTACGATCCAAGCATACCTTTTTCACTTCCTGTGACGTCAGAAGTGATTTCTTGAAATGAAGTTCATATTTCACATAATATGTATGTACATGCTTGGTTTTAGAATAAGGAATATATTATGTACTAGCATTGCCCGCGGCTCCGCCCGCGTTCAGATGACCAAAGCCAAATTCTTAGGTTTTACATATTAGTATACTCTTACACTGCAGTTTTTGTATTTTTTCTCAGAAATGAGATATTTTCCCGCAATAAAAAGCATCTATATGTTGACCCGGATAACCAGCTATCATCATACCAAGTTTCATCAAAATCCCTCCAGTGGTTTTTCTGTGATGTGTTAACAGACAAATCCCATCAAAATCGGTCCAGCCGTTTCGGAGTTATATGCATTTAATAAAAATCTATTATTTTTACATTACAAAACGACACTTTAATTTATTTATTTGTATAGATTTCATAAGTTTAAAATTACGAAACGCGGCACTTTGATTAAAACAAAATGTGACGTAATACGCAGAGGTAATTTTTGATCAGAAATTTTTGTTGTGTTTTAGTTGTTAATACAGTATTTTACTTAATTTATACCATTTTAGCATTTATGATAATATCGTAGCAACTAAGGATCATTAAATACGATGACATGATGATGATATGACGTCATTTGTTTAACACGTCACGTGTTTAATCCGTTCATTTTTTTTATTTGTTTTAAATATACATCTAACAGCTTATTTATAATTTTTAAGATGGTATGACGAAGACATAAAATAAAAAATGCAATCATTCTACCCTAAAGTCCTGGGTTCGACGTTTAACACACATGCATGAATTCATGAGGCGGTGGTAGCCGGTTAAAGGGGGATTCCCCGGTCTCGCATCTCTAATATTTTCATATTCGAACCATTTCCAACATGATTACAACTTGTCTTACGGTGAAGGAAAACATCGTGAGGAAACGTGCACGTCTGAGAGAACATAGCAAGTTTTCGAAAGACAAGTGAATCTGCCAACCAAGAGCGCTTGGCCAGTGTTGTGGACTATGGCCTGATCCCCCATGTATTGTAGGGAGTCCCACCCCCAAACACTGTGAACGCACTGCCTGTGAGTAATTGTTTTTTAAAAAAGGTACACTGACTTTAAAATCACTCAAGGTAAGGTGTTTTTTTTGAAATTTGGAACCACGCTTTTTATAAATGGTATATATTACTTGGTATGTGGTAGCCCAGTAGTAACGAGCTCGCTTGGGAAACTGAGTGACGCGGGTTCAAATCCCAGGTCTCCCACCTCTGATATTTTCATGTGCGAATCATTTCTAACATAATTACCACTTGTCTTACGGTGAAGGAAAACATCCTGAGGAAACCTGCATGTCTGAGAGACCTAGCAAGTTTTCGAAAGACATGTGAAGTCCGCCAACCCGCACTTGACCAGCGTGGTGGACTATCGCCTGATTCCCCTCGTATTGAAGGGAGGCCCACACCCAGCAGTGGGACGTTAAAATGGCTGAATACATACTTGGTATTATGTACACTATAAAAAAAAACAAAGAAATTGAGTACCTTTTTTGAAGTCCCGTTGAATGTATATGGGGAAAAAAAAGGTGTATGCTCTATACATTTACTTAAAAATTATAGTTTTAAAAATATACATTTTTTTAAATAAATTAGGATTTAGTTTCTAGAATTAAAACAATGCTAAGATCAATAACCTTATATTGACGTACTTAAGATACAAAAAAATTTGGCAAAATATCATAAGTATTTGTTAATTTTGACCTGAATAGTTCACAAATAGATGTTATTTTGTTTATTAACCGACTACGTCTTTAAAAGTGTGTACGTGCGATTTCAGTGCCGGTTTAATTTTTAATGATTAAATAAATAAAATTATTGTTTATATGTGTATCCAACAACAATTTGTTTAAAGTTCGGATTGTTTTATTTATAACTATTTTTATCTTTATTATTTACTAGTGACTCACCCTCGCTTCGCTCGGGTTTGTCCCTAGGTTGATTCGCCATACAAATTTTTCATCCCCATTTTCACCCCATAAGATATGATTTCCGGAATAAAAACTATCCTATGTCCTTTTTAGAGTCTCAAACTATCTTACCACATCTGAATCATTTCAGTAGTTTCGGAGCTTATTCGGTACAAACAAACAATAAAATCTTTTCTCTTAATATTAGTATAGATTAGATAGATTTATGTTCATGTTTATTTAAATAGACAGATGAAATTTTAAAACTGAATATTTTGGTATGTTATTCGCCTAAAACAAAATATATACAAGTAAATAAAATCATAGAACCTGTTACTAATATAGTTCTTGAATCTTATATACGTATATATATATAACTATTTCTCTTTTTTCAGGTGACAGACCTCTTTACCCAAATGCGGGAACCCTCGCCCGGGGCTCCTAGCCCCAAGGGTTCCACGGGCTCCCTCAACGTTACCAGGAACGCAGGGTTCCAGCTGCAGAATGGGGCTGAACACCTCCCTTGGAATAATCCTGGGATTACATTACCTGGCAACTGCAATTCTAATTTGTAAGTTAAGTTACACAAGTTCATAAAAATATAGATGTGAGATTTAACTATATTTTTAGGGTTCCGTGCCTCAAAGGGTAAAAAAGGAACCCTCTTTACCCTTATAAGACTACTCTTTGTCCGTCTGTTCATGTGTCACCACCGATTTTCTCAATAACGGGCAGACCTAGCAACTTGAAATTTATAACAGATGCTGAGATCTATATCCGTATTAGGTGTATAAAAATCAAAGTCCTGAGTGAACACGATAAAAAGATACGGGCAACTTTAGATTTTCGCGAAAACTTGTAAGTACCAAAATGTACCTTAATTTTCAACTTTTTTATTTCTCGGAATTTTCCCTATACTTGTGCTGTAAGACCTTGCTTTTAACCAAAATTGACAATTTTACGTCAACCGGAAGTACCCTATAGGTTTTGAGTCGAAAACCTATATGGTAGTTCCCGTTGACCTAGAATCACGAAATTTGATAAAATGAAAGGTCTTACAGCACAAATAAAGAAAAAATTCAAAAAAAAAAGAAAATTATAGTTATATATACTAATGTTATAAAGATATTCCGTTTGTAAGTTTGTGAGGTTGTAGGGGGTAATCTATCCTATGTCCTTCCCAGGATTACAAACTATCTTTTTACCAAATTTCATCTAAATCGGTTCAGTAGATCCAGAGATTACCCCCTACAACGTAACAAACTCACAAACTTTACCTCTTTATAATATTAAATATAATAACACCTTTTAAAAAGTTATTAAATTAATTATAGAATATGTCTTTGAGAACTCTGACCTCATTATTATTACATTGCGTAGACAACACTTATGTAATTAACTTTATGTAAAAGATTAATATAATCTATTTACACTAGTATTATAAATGTGATTGTTTGTATGTGTGTATGTGTGTTACTCTTTTACACTGAAACGTTTGGACGGATTTGGATGAAAATAAATTACGTGTACAGATAGATTATGAGCTGGAGTAAAAAAAGGCTTGTAACTTTTGTTTATATTATTGTCTGTTTAGAATCTTTATTTCTCATTAAGAATAACAAATTCACTTACATGAGAAAACACATTAAATATTATAACATTTACTAAATGCGAGTACGTACAAGTTACATTTGTGAGAAATACATAGTATGCGGGTAATCCTTAAAAATAATACTTAAAACTACAAACAAGTTAACAATACAGTTAGAGCAAAGCGCTAAGAATAAAGAAATCATGGAAATGGCAAAGACTACATTTTACTTTAAGTTTTTTAAGATATAATATTTTAGCGTTTTTTTAAATGTTGTAATTGTTTTTGATTCCTTTATATCTGTTGGTAATTTATTATATAACTTGTAATAATTGTTAGTAATAAAATGTGCCTAAAGGTGGCGCCACCTGTATATCTATACATATAATAAAATTCTAACTGAGTCGAATCTGTACATTAAATATTTTTTTGGAAAATCTTATTGAAATAGTCATTATTATCGATACAGAGGGCGAATGTATAGTTTTTAAAAAAATTGTCTGTCTGTCTACCTGTGACCGCATCACGTGAAAACCACTAGGCAGATTTTGATAAAATTTATTATGATGATAGCTTGTTATCCGGGTCAACATATAAGATACTTTTTACTGTGGGAAAATACCTCATCTCTGAGAAATCTATACTAAACGTTAAAACGTAATTATTTTATTAATAAAATATGAAAAAAATTGGTTACAAAAAACACAAAATTGCAAAACGTCATACTATTGTTTAGAGCAAAATATGACGTCAGAAATTGTTTACAATTTTTTATTATTGGCGGGTGTCATATCTCTGTCGTCTTTGGCCTCTGGAGGAAAGTAAATAAGGACATACGCACACGGCGAGTGTTTAACGTGCGTTTGACGCGCAGTAAACGCGTTTTTGTCGCGCGTTTGTATCGATTTGAGCATAAGGAATCTGCATTTTTGCGGTTCCGTACCCGAAGGGTGCCAACGGAATCCTATTACTAAGCCTCCGCGGTCCGTACGTCTGTCCGTCTGTCAGAGGACTGTATCTCATGAACCGTAGTAGGTAGAGAGTTGAAATATTCACAGAGTATGTATTTTTATTGCTGCTATAACAACAAATAAAAATATATAAAAATATAAATACAACTTTTTTTAACGTTCGTAATCGATCATCGAGTAAAAGTAATATCAATAACTAGCAACTTACCCATGCCTCGCTCGAGTTCGTTCCTAAATTGGTTCTATATACAAACTTTCATCCCCAGGATGATTTCCGGGATAGAAACTATCCTATGTCCTTTCCAGGGTCTCAAACTATCTTCTTACCAAATTTCATCTAAATCGGTTCAGTAGTTTCGGAGCCTACTCCGTACAAACAAACAATAAAATCTTTCCTCTTTATAATATTAGTATAGAAAAGTACATTTACGATGGTAAGGAACCCTTCGTGTGCGAATTCGACTCGCACTTGACCGATTTTTTTACTTCATCAGCTCAGAGTACGACTAAGGACGATAAGTTCCATCGTGACTGAAAAACGAATTTCATAAATCGATTGTAATGAAACTTTAATAAAGTACACAATATAATATACATATAAAGGGGCTAGCTTCTATGGAATTTTAAAGGCTCTCCGCCTGAGAGTAACTTATACTAATTTTATATTGGGAATATTTCAACAGAATCACCGACAAATGCTAGGTTGTATAGAATATTTTATATAGCTTTTGCAACCAGATCAACATATCAACATTATATATATATATATGTATATATATGTATATATATATATATATATATATATGTATATATATATGTATATATATATATATTTATATATAGTGTATACACGCCTTTTTATTTAACAAAATGACTGATTTACAGACAATAAACTTAAATAAACGACTGTAAACAACTCAATAAAATAATGCAAGAAGTCTACACATATACGTGTTGAAATTACCATTGAATGGAATTTTCCTCTTATTTAATGCTAGTTTCTAACCGTGGTTTTGTCTGTATGTATATTTTAACATACTATCTACACCGGCGTTGCCTGGTCGCTTTTTAGGGTTCCGTACCCGAAGGATAAAACCGGACTTAAGTACTAAGACTCCGCTGTCCGTCCGTCCGTCCGTCTGTCTGTCAGGCTGTATTTCATGAACCGTGATAGTTAGACAGTTGAAATTTTCACAGATGATATATTCCTGTTGCGCTATAATAACAAATATTAAAAAAACAGAATAAAATAAATTTTTAAGGGGGATCCCATACAACAGGCATGATTTTTTTGCCGTTTTTATAGATAATGATACGGAACCGTTCGTGCGCGAGTCCATTTCGCACATGGCCTGTTTTTTAATTCGAGATCAAATTTTATAACCTCCTTTGGGTTTTAAATGGGGCTATTGAAAAAAAACGCCGAGTTTCCAGTTCTTCCTTACTATATGAAGGACCTCTTCTTTCCAAACTAATAAACATGCTTTACAAATTTATTAAAGAAATCTATAATTTCATGTGGTTCTTTGTGAAGAAATAAAAATATTATTGTAAGAAAAATACCGTTTGTAATATAATCATATTATTATTATTAACACCTCCAGGTAAATTTCTAAGAAATTAATTAAATTTCTAAGAAATCTATTGTTAACTGTAACGCCACGCCGGCGTGTCCACGGTCGTGGAGGGATTAATGAGAAAGTTTGTATGTGTGTATGTTTGTTGCTCCTTCACGATGAAACGGCTCGATGGATTTGGATGGAATTTAGTACAGACTATGACACATAGGCTACTATTAGCTACAGACGTAACCGAGAGAAAGGAGCGTCAGTCGCTATGTGTATAAATATTATAAATGTGAAAGTTTGTGGGTATGTATGTTTGTTACTCTTTCACGCCAGAACGGCTGAACAGATCTGGATGAAATTTGGCACTGAGATAGATTATAGTTCTGACTATAAATCTATCTACTTGTTTGTCTCGGAAAAGTATACGGTTCCCAAGGGATAGATTTGTATAAGTTTTTCCGCTAGTTAGGCTATAAAATGTAAAATTAAGTTAGTAATAAAATTTGACAAAAGGTGATCCATTACGTACAAGTGAAATTATATATTTTCAGGACAAACGAACAAACACTAACCCGCAGCACCAGTAACGCATCAGCTCTAACGTCGTTATGTGCGAATCTATCTCCTTCTGACTCTCATTTTTTTGAGGTAAGAAAACTGTCTTGCACGGAATCGAACCTTATTATTTATTGTTGCTAAATGCATTTACGCATACCACCTGTATACATGCAGGTAGTTATGTGGGACTCACTGGCCAAAGTCAGTACTATCCACTACAAAAAGAGAAGGTAAAACCCCCTCCTTTTTGGCTGGTACTGACTTTGAAAATATCTGTTTAGGTATCTATAATAAATGAAAACCCACTTTCAGTTATGTTTTACTTTTAATATCCAGAAATAGGTCTTTTTTTAATGTCTGAAAGTCAGTTTTGATTATTTTAAGTTTTTATAATTAGAAGTGTAAGCGAATAAAATTAATAGCTCAAGAATGAATAGTATATATATATATATATATATATATATATATATATATATATATATATATATATTATACATATATTTTTATTAATATATTACAGGTTCTATACATTGGCAAAGTCCGTATATCTCAAAGGAAAGTTCCAGAATCATTAATAGATGACGCTTTAACAAAATTCGCTCAGCATGAAGCAGAAAAGCTAAGAAATCATAGGCGACATAGCTTATTGTCTTCCGCTACGGTATGTATTGAAGAAAAAACTAAATTATTATTAATCTTATAACGACCTGTATGTGAATGGTAATATTTATTTTGTTAATATTCAGGAATAGGCTGTCTAGTTTTTTTTTAAATATATATTTTTTAAATTAAAGCATAATGCTTGTAACATTTTTATTTTTATCAGTTAGTAAAAAGATATCGAATAAAACACTAAATTTATATTGATAGCATTTTGATTATTACAACATTATTTTTCAGGGATCTCAAGACAGCAACGATTCAGATCCTAAAAGCTCACCAGAGAAAGGCATAGAAAAGTTTATGCAAAAACAAGTCACTTTGATCCCAAGTACGACCCCATTAGAACCAGATAAATCTAGCGTTTGGAAAAGTGCTGAAAATCTCCAGAAAGCTGATAGCCATGAAATTGATCAAGAATTTGATGTATTTACTAAAGAAAGAGCAGAAGCTAAAAATCCCACGCCCCTAGAACCAACAGTGGTAGTTATTAATATGACAAAAAACAACTTAGGCACAGTAACAGAAGATGAAGAGAAGCATGATGATATAAAAGAAGTTAATAAAGAAGATAAAGAACTAAGTGAAGAAGTTACCATCAAAGATACTAATCCTTTTAAGACAGATGTAGAAGAAACAACAGGGAATGTTGATCCATTATTGAAAATTCCCGTCGATATCAAAAATGTTGTAAATGAAAAGCCAAAACAGCTAAATATTAGTAAAATTAATACGGAAAATAAAGCTAAAAATCAAGAATTTATTACGAATAGTGCTAAGGAAAAACCAAATAATCTAGAATTTGGCGAATTAGTTAGAAAACCTAATATGAATGATAAGAAAGTGTCAGAAAAGCCGTTTTTGAGAGATCGTTCTGCGTCTATTGGCACTTTAAGTATGAAGACGCCCTTAACACATTTAATTGGAGAGCAAAACAGAACTATGCTATTTCAGGTACAATGTTTTTTTTATTGTAATGGTATTTATATTTTACTTTTTGCAGTGTCTTTGACATGCTTTTTTAATATTTTTTAATATTTAATTCATACTAATATTATAAATGTGAAAGTAACTTTGTTTGTTAGTTTGTTAGTTAGTTTTTTTGTTACCTTTTTACTACTTAACGGCTGAACTGATTTAGAAATTTTAAAATGAAAAGAAAACAATAATTGTTATGGAGGTAGCATGAGGTAGCATGACTTTGGGAAGGACATAGGATATTTTTTACCGTGGAAATCAACCCCTAAGGGTGAATAGGCGGGTGGAAGTTTGTATGGGATACCAATCATTTCTCAACTAAGGCATATAAAACTTATCATACTATGTATATATATATATAGTCTATCTATTCCATACTAACCGTTAAAACGTACCTAGGGACGAACCCGAGCACAGTGATGGCGAGTCGCTAGTTTCTTATAAAGTATACTAAGTTAGTTTTCATAAGACATAGTAAGAATTGGTGCCAGTGCATCCAATATGAGTACATTTAATGATCTATACATATTATAAAATAATTAAAAGCGAAATCGAAATATTATAAAAACAATGACTGTTACATATTATATACAGAATATAGTCCCCAAAACAATAATTATTATTTACATTTTTGTCTGTTCGTCTGTATATCTGTGTGCGTTTCACGCAAAATGTGCCGAAAGGATTTTAATCAAATTTTGTATAGCGATAAAATATTATTGGAGTCAACATTTAGGATACTTTTTGCTACAGGAAAATCTGTAATTCCCACGGGATAACTCAATAAATGGTTCTATCGAGTTGTTCTTATTAATCTACATGACCTTAAGAGATACATCAAAACAATGTACTAGAAAATTGTAGGTCTTAAAAAATCCCACAGAAAAGTCTGCAATAGCATAAGTCTTTCTCCTAAGGTACAATCGCAATAACTATTCATATCTATATAAAACTTAAAAATTAGACGAATTCGTTAAAAATATCGAGAGCCAAAAAGCAAATTTAAACCAGAAAAATGTCAAAAAATAGATTTGTTAACGTTTTTTTTAATTTTCAGGTCGCTCGATCAGAACTTCGTCTCATAAGTCCTGATCGCAAGCAAATTCTCCTATACAGAGCGTTTAAAGACGTAGCCAGTTGTGTTCTTGGCAAAATTAATAAGGAACATTTTGGTTTCGTCTGTAGAGAGACTAATGATTACGCCTGCTATGTGTTCAAATGTGAAAGTGACTCGATAGCTACTGAAGTTGTTAATGGTAAGCACATCTAACACCGTATGCTTGAAAATTAAACATAATAAAAAAAATTAAAGAGTCCGTGTATGAATGTGTATACGCGCAAGAAGTAAAACTTCTTAAGTTCTTTATGAAATTTAATTTATATTTTAAATAATTGTGATAAGTGAGATACTAAAAAAACTTGTGGTTTTATAACTTATGTACGCACCTAAGAAGTTATACTTCTTTGGCGTAACAGAACAAAAATAGCAAAATATTTCATCCCGTATGTCACACCTCTCTGTTTGTAAAAGGTATGATATTTTTTTATAAAAATGATTGAATAAGGCATATTAAGCATATTACAATTATATATTTATAGAATATCATTTAAGAAAAGAATGTAATCTTTATATATATAATTCTTCTGTGAGTGTGTATGTCACTGAACTTCTCTCAAACGACTGGACCGATTTTGATGAAATTTTTTGTGTGTGTTCAAGGGGATCTGGGAATGGTTTAGATTCACAATTATTTATATATTATCATTTGTCAGACAATAACAACGGTTACCATGGTAACAAACGTTCGCCTCGTCCGATCACACTTTTCGTAACGCTCTCGTCACGTATTCACTAGCTTACTCCCCAAGTTGAGCGTGCGTAAAGTAGTTTTGCTTCAAATAACTTTTTTTTAATATTACAGCAATAAAACAGGCGTTTGTAGCACATGCGGAATTATTAAAGAAATCCCGGGATAAATCTCCGAATATGACTTGCGAACACTGTCCCATGTTATGGTACCACAGATTATGTCATGATATTGAAGGTAAGGTTCCTTTTGTGATTTTAAATACAATATAACATAATAATTTAATCTTTTTTTTAAAGAAAAATATTTTAATAAAATTTAAACGTTTTAATAAAATATTCTTTAGAGACTTTCGCACATATACATTATGTTATTTTATAATACGGTAAGTACTTCTTGAACCCCTATTGAGATCTGTTTTCTTATCTTTCGATTATTTTATATAAACATCAATAATAAATCATTATTGTACTACATACAGCATCGTCTATTGAAATTTATTTAAACTTTTTTTATCCTAATGAGAGCTATTTAAAAAAATATTTCTTTATTTATTTTAAAAGTATTAAAAGACCAACCAATTCCAATCTAAACGACAAAAGATATAGATAATTAATCTATACATATAATACAATTCTGAGTCGAATCTGTACATTAAATATTTTTTGGAAAACCTTATTGAAATAGTCATTATTACCGATACAGAGGCCGAATCTATAGTTTTTAGAATTTTTGTCTGTCTGTTTGTCTTTCTGTCTGTGACGGCATCACGAGAAAACCACTAGACATATTTTGATGAAATTTGGTATAATTATAGCTGGTTATCCGGTTCAACATATAGGATACTTTTTACTGCGGGAAAATATCTCATATCTGAGAAATCTATACTAAACCTTAAAACGTAACTAGGGACGAACCCGAGCGGTGCGAGGGTGAATCGCTAGTTTAATATAAATTTAAAGATTTTAAGACTTCAGTAGTTTTATTGAAATAAATAAACAAATTTCAGGTATGAATGAAAAAAAGATACACGCATTCATTCTCCGTCGCATACAATCATTTCCAGAAGATGAACAAGAGCTGATAATAACAAAATACCAAGGAGGTACTAACCATATGTATGAGGTAAATATATTTTAACTATGTACATTTATAATAAAAGCCTTAAAAATAAAAAAAATCGGCTTTTTTCGGAACCAAAAATCAAAGTAAATACACGAAAGAATCCGAAAAGAAAGTTTTATTTAAAGCAAGCGGTACCTTTTTACAGTAAGTACAGAATAGATTGACTACACGTTCATTAGTATAGATATATTTTATATACCTTACTTGAGAAGTGATTGATTCCCCATGCAAAGTGACACCCCCCTTTTTACTCCCATAAGGGATGATTTCCGGGGTAAAAACAACTCTATGTCCTTTCCAGGGTTTCAAACTATTTCCATACCAAATTCCGTCAAAAACGGTTCAGCGGATTAAGCGTGAAAAAGTAACAGACAGACAGACAGGGTTACTTTCGCATTTTTATATTAGTATGGATTAGTATGGATGTCAAATAATCTCGTAAATTTAAAAAATATTAAATTTTACAACGTATTACATCTATATTACTCATATACTTAATTGTTAATATATACATTTGTCAAATTCATTTAGTTGGTTGGAGGTTTTTAGATACTGATTTAGAACTGTATGTTTTTTAACCCCCGACGCAAAAACGGCGGGGTGTTGTAAGTTTGACGTGCCTGTGTGTGTCTGTTTGTCGCATCGTATCTCCCGAACGGATGAACCGATTTTGATTTCGTTATTTTTATTTGAAATAGTTGGGAGTGTTCTAAGCTATGGTTGTTGAAAATCGATCCAAGATGAATGGTTTTTTTTTTAATATATTTGCAGGTTAATGAACATAATGCTTTTTTGATGATGCTGTTAAGAGCACACTGTGAAGCAAAACAACAAAGACACGTCCATGATACGGCTGAGAATAGGTAAGTTCCAATTACCTTACCTTAACTTACCTTACCTTTAGCATTTTACAAGTTTTTTTACCTCTTTCAAATGGTTACATTACTTAGTGGCATACCTTTACCCTTGCAACTAATGTCTACTCCATATCGGTGTGAGACTTGGATTGTCCTTATTAATGTCTTTTATTAAATTCTATATAAAAACTAGCGAAACTTTTTAACGTTTAGTATACATATCTCAGAGATGAGATATTTTCCCGCGGTAAAAAGTATCCTATATGTTCGCTCGGATAACCAGCCCGCAGACAGACAAACAAAAATTCTAAAAACTATAGATGCCGCTCGTGCCTCGGGAACGCGTAAAGCCGTCGGTCCTGCGTGTTAAGTCTGTCCGGTCGTGTCTCGCGTCGTCCCACCGGAGTATGAGAGTGACAGGGACAGAGAGTGCCCTTGTGTCTGCGCTCTCCCTCACACGCGCTGCACTATAATATCTCCTGCGCAGTTGGCTAGTCTCAATGAGATTGGCCGCCGTGGCCGGAATCGGTCGAAAGGATATCATTACTATTATGAATTAAAATTTAATAGACAATAATTTTGTATTAAAAACTCTTTCGGTAAATTGTTCGTTTGGAAACATAAGCACTGAGACGACAAGTTTGTAATGCAAGTTTTCTTTTACAGATCGGAATTTCTAAACCAATATCTAGGTGGTAGTACGATATTTATGAAAGCTAAACGCTCTTTATCGAGCGGCTTCGACCATTTACTGAAAAGAAGGCTAAGCAAAGATGACGTCACTATACCTATAAAAAAGGTAAACATGTAATATCTTATATATAAAATTTCCATGTCACAATGTTTGTTACCGTACTCCTCCGAAACGGCTTTACCGATTTTTACCAAATTTTATATGCGTGTTCAGTAGGTCTGAGAATCGGCTACTATCTATTTTCCATACCCCTAAGTGATAAGGATAAGGGTGGTCTTCTCAGACCCCACCCCAGGGGCGAACCCGAGCGGAGAGAGGGTGAGTCGCTAGTAATATTATAAAGCTAAAGAGTTTGTGTTTGTTTGTTTGTACAAACATATTATTATATTTGATACTAGCGGCTTACCCCCGCTTCGCTCGGATGCGTCCCTAGGTATGTTTTGAATGTTAAAATAGGTATTGTAATTGTATTTTAGCGGACTCAAAACAGTATGAGTAAAGAGAAAAAATACAGGCAAATAGCTAGCATTTATAATATTTTCTTACAGGAATCGACTCCGATATCTGCAGTGAATGAAACATCATCAGAAAATAATTCCGATATTCTATCTCCTGATCCTCAGCGGTGTAAATCTGTTCCAATATACATTGGTATGTGTTTTTATTATTGTTACTAGCATTGCCCGCGGCTCCGCCCGCGTTCATATCAGTATACTCTTACATTGCTGTTTTTGTATTTTTTCTCAGAAAGAGACATTTTCTCGTGGTAAAAAGTATCCTATATGTTGACCCGGATAACCAGCTAAAACCATACTAAATTTTATCAAAATCTCCAGCGGTTTTTCTGTGATGCGGTAACAGACAGACATACAAAAATTCTAAAAACTATAGATTCGGCCTCTGTATCGATAATAATGACTATTTCAATAAGATTTTCCAAAAAATATTTAAGATACGGCTTAGTTACAATTTTATTATATGTATAGATAACTAGCGGTCTGACCAATTGCATTGCGTTTCAACTACTTTGAATTTCTCACCTATTTTTGCACTTTTTAAAAATTATTTTCTTAATCAAAATGAAATAACATTAAAAATGTTCATATAGACTTAATTTAAAAATAACAAAAAAAAATATTGCACCTTTATTATACGCATCTCATATTGTTGTGTCATTTTTTTTCAGATCAACCTCAGCCAGCTTCACCAAACCCAAATAACACGCCTCCAGAAGAATCGTCAGAAGAACCAAAAGAAGAATCTGTCAACTCTCCCATGATGGATATGTGAGAAATACGTTTTTTTTCTGTTTTCTTAAAGGCAAACCGAGGCAATTACGAAATAATCGCGTTCGTTTGATCCCTTGCTGTATTGTTATTACTAAAACTTTAATTATACAATAAATATGTAGGATATTTAAGAATTTATTCTATAAATCGTACACTTTAGAAACAAGATTACTTGTAGTTTCCTCGATAGAAAAAAAAATCCAAAATGATCTCTAAAAAACAACATAAACCCTTAGTGCGGCGTAAATAATTCAAGGAAGTTCATCAGTTTTTTTAATAATAACAAAACTATACGTTTTCTATATCGTATACACTTTACATTTTCAAAATGTGTAATTGTTTTAATAATATGAAGGAAATACCTAAATTCGTACGCGTTCCGTCCATCTTAGCCACCACGCCCCCCTGCCCGCTTTCGTCCTACTAAAATCAATCAGCGCCAAAAGCTTGGTGCCTTAACCTTTTTTGGAGTAGAAATGATTTTTTAGTGTCTGTATGCTATCTACATCCATTTGTATAATTTTTATTTTAAATGCCAAACTAGCGAAATAACCTCCTAGTGAGTCACTGAAAGAATTATTATTATTAATTAATATTGTCGTCTACACATATAATAAAATTCTAACTGAGTCGAATCTGTACATTAAATATTTTTTGGAAGATCTTATTGAAATAGTCATACATACAGAGGCTGAATCTATGGTTTTTAGATTTTTTGTCTGTCTAAATAAGAGTTTTAATAATATATAGCCTCTATTTCACAGATTCCTAAAAGTTTCCGACTCGCGTGCAACACACACAGAGAGCGGGAACGAATCGGACGCAACATGGCGTCAGGCCATATACGAGAAAGTAATTCAACCTGGCAAGGATGAAGGTAGATGCCATTCCTATACAAAAACATATATACACATTTCTTAACAAATATCTCATCAAAAAGTGGCGTCGACATGTGACGATAAGTCAAACCAAAGAATAAAATACAAAAATCGAAAGTTCTAATTGTCTAAACACAAATTCGATCTTACGCATACCACATAAGGTACTTTCTTGAACGAAACAACGTGCGTTTTAATTTTGTCATCAGAAAAGCAATGAACCAAAAAAGAGATTTGAAAAAAGCGAAATTCAATTTTTCATTGTGTACTTTTTTTGATGCTGATTGTGTATCTTGAGTTTTTGTCAATGGTATGTGCAAAAATTTTTAACCCTAATACTAAGACCCTAATACTAAGACTCCGCTGTCCGTCCGTCTGTCTTTCCGTCTGTCACCAAGCTGTATCTCATGAACCGTGATAGTTAGTTGAAATTTTCATAGATGATGTATTTCTGTTGCCGCTATAACAACAAATACAAAAAAACAATAAAATAAATATTTGTGGGGGCTCCCATACAACAGACATGATTTTTTGCCGTTTTTATAGATAATGGTACAGAACTTTTCGTGCGCAAGTCCGACTCGCACTTGGCCGGTTTTTTTTCTTTCTGTGTGTCATGATATAGATAAAGTTTCTTTTGTGATTTTAAAAATAATTAAACCTTTTTTTTTAAATACAGTTCAGTTCGAGGCCTACTACATATTAATTACTCAAATCCAAATCTCTTGTTAATGGCTCCAAAGCGTGCCAATTGAGTTGTATATTTCTTAAGATACACTTGCAATAACTATTTTTATCTATATAAAAAATATCCACGTAATATTTTTTTTTCAATCCAATTGCAAACAAACACACAGACAAAAATTATAATTTTGTCCGTTTAAGTCATTCTAAATGTAACTTCTAGGTTTTCCATCAGAACTCAAAGGGAAGCGTTCTAAAGAACAATTGAGGCGGTTATGGAAAATGGCGATCGACCAAACGATATTGTTAGTGCGGATGGAGAAAGAGAACGCGAGATTGAGAGGTAATTATTTATCTATACATATAATAAAATTGTAACGAAGCTGAATCTGTACATTAAATATTTTTTGGAAAATTTTATCAAAATAAACATTATTATCGATACAGAGGCCGAATCTATAGTTTTTAGAATTTTTGTCTGTCTGTTACCGCATCACAGAAAAACCACTGGAGGGATTTTGATGAAATTTGGTATGATGATAGCTGGTTATCCAGGTCAACATATAGAATACTTTTTATCGGGAAAAAATGTCTGATATCTGAGAAAAAATACAAAAATTGCAATGTAAGAGTATACTAATATGTAAAACCTAAGAATTTGGTTTTTGGTCATCTGAACGCGGGCGGAGCCGCGGGCACTGCTAGTCTATTTATATATAGTAATTTTATTCTGTTACCTTATGCCCGCGGCGTGGCCTGCGCTTTAAGTGTATTTTTCTAGCCATTTTGAGCAGCGCTATCAACATTTTAAATAAATAACCACAACTGGGGATGGGTCTTCCTTTAATACGAGGGGGTGGTCATTTTTCATTTTTCGAAATTCATCCTATAAGGGGGTTAAATAGTTGATAAAAGTTTGTATGAAACTGTCTTTTGTAGTTCTAGCGCAAGCGAAGCCGCGGGTTCTGCTAGTTATAAACAAATAAAACACGAATTAGTTACACTAATTACTTAAAAAGCAAGTGTATGTATGTATTGATTACTCTTTCTCCATTCTCTTTCTTAGAAAGAGAAGAGTCGTCAGCAGTTCGCCGTATAAAGCTGGAGTATGAAGAACTGGGGGGTAAAGCATCGTGTGGGATGTGGGAGGGGTTGCTTACGGGGGATAGGTCTAGACGAGCGAGGGTAGATGCACATATGTTGACACAAGCTGTAAGGCAGGGTAAGTGTTAAGAATATATATATATATATATATATATATATATATATATATATATATATATCGCTAAATAAGATTAAAAAATAATAAAAAAAAGACAGGAAAAAATATAGTTGAAAATGATTAACACTAAAGTTGGTATATTTCTTAATAGTATAACTATAGCAAGACCCATTTTGTATTAATAATAAAATTTATATCTATACAGATAAATAAAATTGAAGTGTCTCTTTATGATGTCCAAACAACAGCTATTTTACTAAATGCTAATGAAAGTATATACGGTACTTAAATAAAATTTTAATAATAAAACATAATATTTTTTTTGTCTGTCTGTTTGTTCCGGCTAATATCCCAATTAGTTGAACCGATTTTGACGGGATTTTCACTGGCAGATAGCTGATGTTATAAGGAGTAACTTGGCCTCTTTTATTTTAGAAAAAGGATATGGTTTCTGCTCGAAGCGAGGGTAGATGCTAGTTATTAAAATTTGTAATATTGTGATGTATTCCGGTACCGTGTTTCTTGTAAAAGTCCATTTGAATGAAGTATATTTTGATTTCATTTCAAGTAATTTTATCTACATTTTAGGCGTACCTCGCATGTCACGTGGGGCCGTGTGGTACTTCTTAGCAGAGCAGGCCTGTCTTCGAATACCACCGCCAGACATGAAGCAGTTCCCAGAATATAACACGCCATACAGAACTCTTTTGGCGGGTTTGACGAAACATCAACACGCTATTTTGATTGATTTGGGTAAGGTTTGTGGGTTATACGTACTATTATAGTTCTTGATTTTTTATATATATGTATACAACCCTTTTTAACGTCCCACTGCTGGGGGTGGGCTTTCCTTTAATACGAGGGGGGTCAAGCCACAGTCCATCGCGCTGGCCAAATGTTGGTGGACTGAGCACGTCTTTCGAAAACTTGCTAGCTTCTCTCAGACAAGCAGGTTTCCTCACGATGTTTTCCTTCACCGTGAGACAAGTGGTAATCATATTGGAAATTATTCGTTTATACTGATTAAACATGACGTGGGAGAAAACCAGCTTCACTTATGTCCTGCCTTATACTTATTTAAATACAGAACCAATTTTACAGATTTTTGATAGACGTCAAAAAGTATAAATATACTAGAAGACGAATATTTCTTACCACTAATAGTGAAATAATTATTTCTAAAGAAATTTTAAAATCTTACTTATTTCTTTACAGGTCGTACATTTCCGAAGCACTCTTACTTCGCATCAGCTTTAGGACCGGGACAGTTGGCGTTGTACAATATATTGAAAGCCTATTCTCTCTTAGACCCTGATGTGGGTTACTGTCAGGGGCTAAGCTTCGTTGCTGGGGTTTTGTTGTTACATGTTAGTATTCTATACATCACTACATCAATCTATACTAATATTATAAAGAGGTAAAGTTTGTGAGTTTGTGAGGTTTAGGGAGTAATTTCTGGATATACTGAACGGATTTAGATGAAATTTGGTAAGAAGATAGTTTGAGACACTGGGAAGGACATAGGATATTTTTTATCCCGGAAATCAATTCTTAAGGGGGTGAAAATGGGGATGAAAGTTTGTATTGGGAAGCAAGCTAGGGACGAACCCGAGCGAAGCGAAGGTGAACAATTATAAGGTTTATATATAAAACTAGCGACTCACCCTCACTTCGTGTTCGTACCTAGTAAAAATCAAAAACAAATCTATCCCACGGGAATCGCACAATTTACAAGATAAACAGTTACTATGTGCTATTACAAAATATAATCTATCTCTGTGCCAAATTCCATCCAAAAACGTTCTGGCGTGATTTAGTAACAAACATCCATCGAAACTTTCACATTTATAATATTTATGGGATTAGTATGGATTATATTTTTTTTATTTTCAGATGGAAGAAGCGGAAGCGTTTTCTCTATTGAGACATTTAATGTTTAGAAGAGGTCTAAGAAAGCAGTATTTACCCGATATGAGCGCTTTACAAATTCAGGTATGGAGGATATATTTATTAAAAAAAAAGACTTAATGTCACTATATAGAAAATGTGTTTTGAATCTTGGTCTTATTTCTTACAAAATAATTATTCAATGGAATCGATTTGATTTTTATATTTAGCGATTTCTTACCGTCGCGTCGCTTCGCTCGAGTTCGTCCCTGGGTACGTTTTAACGGTTAGTATGAAATACAAATCTTTTAATTTATCGGCTTTTCTGTACTATGATATGCATGTATTATACATATAAACATTCCTCTTGAATCACTCTATCTATTGTTGAAAACTGCATTAAAATCCGTCGAGTAGTTTAAAAGATCTAAGCGAATAGACACCTGGTGGCGTGTAAAGTTTACTTGTATAATCTTTACATTGTATAAAAAGAAGTCACTTCCGCTGTCTGTCCACTGAAATCTTTTAAAATACTCAACGGATTTTAATGCAGTTTTCAGCAATAGATAGAGTGATTCAAGATGAAAGTTTATATGTATAATATATGCATATTATAGTACAGAAAACCGAGAAATTCAAATATTTGTATTTAATATTAACGTTAAAACGTACCTAGGGACGAACCCGAGCGAAGCGAGGGTGAGTCGCTAGTATCGTATAAAAAAACATTTTTGTTCGTCATGTCAACCATTGTTTTAGTTAAAAATATAAACTAAAACTGACTTAAAATGCCATATTTTTTTAGTTGTACCAACTATCCAGACTATTAAGAGACCATGAGCCAGAATTGCACTCAAAGCTAGAATCGTTGGACATCTCCCCCGCGCTGTACGCCGCGCCGTGGATGCTCACTTTGTTCACAAGCCAGTTCCCCTTGGGATTCGTCGTTAGAGTGTTCGGTAAGTGGGTTCGAGCTCGGTTGATGTTTTTTTTGTTAGACTGCTTTTTTGTGTATATTGGTGTCTTCGAATTCTTCTTCATGATGGAATTACTCGTAGATTTTGACTAATAGTGACGATTTTAAAATAAAACTATCTTTTCCGATTTTTTCGCCGATTTATTGCCATTAGAAACGTCAGGAACCAAAAGTAAAAATAAATATAATGATTCCTTAGATTTACGCGAACATTTGATATTTTAAAATAAAACTATCTATTCGGATTATTTTTGGCGAATTTACGTTTTTGGTTCCCGAGGTTTCGAACTTACATCAATCATGGTCACGGAAGAGATTATGGTTTTAGATGACTCAAAGCTCGTCATATACTTGTTACAGATAAAAATAAAGACCAAAAAATCCGAAAATATATTTTTATTTAAAATGTCAAATATTCGCATAAATCTAAAAAAGTTGCACATATGTTTACTGCGTGATGGTAACGATGGACAATTCCGATTTACACTTTTTAAATCACATTTTGTTGTTCGTTTTGAACATAAATATAACTTTATTTACTAATTTTTCCAGATCTCATATTCCTGGAGTCCTTTGACATAGTCTTCTCTGTTTCTCTCTCCCTTCTCTCCATTCACAAAGACGGTCTGATGCTATGTGAAAGCTGTGAAGAAGCCGCAGAATATCTAAAGCACAAGTTACTCGGTGTCGACGAAAATATATGCAATAAAGTTATGAAAATGGTATGTTTGCATATCTTTCTTATAAATTAACTAGCGATTTACCCTATCTTCGCTCGGGAGCTCCCCTAGGTAATTTTTTTTTGCGTGGAACCCTAATTCCTTTTCTAAAATAAAAGTAACCTAAATTACTCCTTATAACATCAGCCATCTGTCAGTGAAAGTCTCATCAAAATCAGTCCAGTCGTTTCGAAGATTAGCCGGATCAGACAAAAATTTTAAAATTATTATATATTATTAATCTTATTAGTACCCTATATAATTTTATATGCATTTAGTAAAAAGCTGTTACTTTGACATTATAAACAGACACTTCAATTTTATTTATTTGTACAAGATATCTAAATTCACTGAGCATTCACAACATCGAGATATAAAAATCTGAATAAAATCGTAGAACGCCCGAAAAAATTATTTTATATAGCCTATGTGTTACTTCAAATTATAGCCTCTGTATACTAAATTCCATCCAAATCTGTCCAGTCGTTTCGGCGTGAAGGTATAACAAATATACACACATACAAACTTTCACAATAATAATACAGGTCTAAATATTTAATTAGGTCGCAAAACTGGATATCAGCCGTCAACTAATAGAATATGCAGTGGAGTACAGCGTTTTGAGAGAAGAAATGCCTCGTCTAGCGGCTTTGACAGAACAGAACAGAATTCTTCTAGACGATGCGAGCAGATGGAGCTCTGAATTGGATGTAAGTTCGATTTTTAATTTACATTTTGTAATAGCCACGTTATATTGGTAAGAAATTGTGTTTAGTACTATGAATGGCTACATCCAAATATTTTTGTGAAATATTTATTCTGAGTACAAGTTCAGTTGGTGAATTTATGTGTGACGACAAATGTGACAACACGTTTGGCTTAGTTTGCAGTGATCCTACTTGCTGTGCCAGCGGTAGCGGGTTTGAATCCCGCTGGGGGCATTCATTTGTGTGATGAGCACGAATGTTTGTACTCCAGTCATGGGTGTTTTTATTTATAATATGTATGTATTTAAAGTTATATATGTGTAGTGTATCAACTATCTGGTATCCATAACACAAGCCTCGTAGCTTACCATGGAACTAGATGCTGCTGTGTGTTAATGTCCCAACATATTTATTTAGAAGTTAGTAATTGTCGAACATTTAAAGTTTATTACAAACAAGGGGTAAACCCTTTCAGGATCAAACCCGTAACTAATGTCAATGCCACAAAAATCCATAACTTCATTTTAACTGAACTATACTTTTTATGTCAACAGTCTGCTATGGACGCCATAGAAAACTACCAAAAAACACAATCTCGACTCGAAACTCACAACAAATTAATGGAACAGCAATTAACATTGCTCAGCCGATACATTTCTGCCCACCACAAACAGGACATACCTAACGAAATAAAGAAAATAATCCAAAATTACAGCAAACGACTATCATTTAGTTCAAAAATCATCACAAAATTGACATCGAACGATGAAGAAGAAGATTCTAGAAAGAATTTCAAACAAGGAATGAGCACACCTAACTTATTCTATAAAACTACCAAAGAAGAAGTACTTAATGCAGTGAACAAAGATAGGAGCGAAGATCGTAGACATTTTCTTATGAAAAAATCCCAATCCGTCCATTCTGGATTGATAGCAAATAGGCACGTCCCACTGAAAATTCTAGAAGAAAAGCCTCAAGAATTAAGAAGAGATAGTTTAAGAATAGAGAACTTAGCCAATGACAATATAAGAGATCTAGGGAGAAAAACGTCCAACTACTTTGCTAGCACACATAGGCAAATCGAGCAAGAACGGCTGTTTGAACAGCAATTGAAGCACGATTTTGATGAAAATCTAAAAAAGTTAGATGAGAAATTAACAAAGCAACTCTCGCCCAAATCGTATTTGGACGATTTGGGCATATTTCAAAGTAAAAAGTCTATGTCTTTAAATTTGAATGCTAAAACTGAGAAGTCTAATGATAGTGGGTTTGTTACACCACTAAGTCCTAAAGATGATAATAAATGTGATAGCGTATCAACAATATCCCATCCACTAAGTGACTGCGATGTGGATATAAAATTCGATGGGCAATTGACTAAACTGAAACAAATCAGACCTTTAAAGCATAACTCATAAAAAATTTTTTAATAACTTATCAATTTTGATAATTTATCATTACAAAAAAAATCACATTTTTTTAATGTTTTATACTAACATATTATTCAAATTATTCAATTCAAACGCAATGTGTTGTACATAAGAAAAAAAACAATGAAAATTAAAAAACAAGATCTAAATATCTCATATTTGTTTGAAATTGTTTAATAAATGATAAATAAAAATAACTCTAATTCTAAAGAGGATAGAATCTAAAGTAAAGCTAACAGTGTATCAACAATAAACTATCCATCTGTGGTATAATTTACTGGAGATATAAAGACATAAGCTCTATACAATTATTATCAAATTCATTCGTTCATGTCTATGTGACATTGTCGAAGTAATCTGTGCTTAACTGTCACGCTTTGAAGCCATTGACAAGAGAATTGAATCAAATTCCTCTCTCTCTCTCTCTCTAGACTCTACCGAGAGAGAACATAGGTTATTGGGATTCACCGTAAGTGAATGATATATGTAAGTGTATGAGACCATATTGCAGATTGACAGATTTTAGTCTTTGAAGCACAATTTTGATAAAATTGTTATTTTTTTTAATTATCACGCAAACTTTGTTGTTAATTTTATGATCTGTCTTTACTGATAAAATACTAACTTTTGTTTAAAAAATAATAAGTTTTTATTTCATTCATACTATTGTTCAGTTATAACATAAAAATTAAAAAATAACTTGAGTTGAAATAATATTGATAAAAAATATTTTTTGTTATAAACAGAAAAAAATCATTACATTACGTAATACATTTTAATTATTTAAAATAGGTCAGACCTTTAAAGCAAAAAAAGTTTGTGATAAATTCCTCTCAGATATCAATTGAAAGTATCTGATAAAAAACTTATAAAAAGTTTATTTTGGTGATCATTAATTTATCAGGATGAAACATATTTTTTTATTTATTTAAAAATGTGTTTTAACCGTTCGGTATATTGAAAATGACGATAATTTGTAATAAATACAAATATCATTTAAAGGTATATAAATGATAAAAACATTCAACTTTTCATAACACAACTAATTTAATTTGAAAAAATCTAAAAGTATACACATTTAAGAATTTTAAATAAAAAGAAATGAATATAACAAGAAATAACCTCTCGACATAAAAACCTCCGAAATAAAAAAAAAATGATATTTTTTCATATTAAAAAAAATCTTTTCTCTTGTTTTATTCAGAATATTTAAAAAAGAGATATCTAAATTTACAATTGGTATTTAAAAAAATATTTGAGTCATTTATTTTTCTAAGTAGCCTTACACCGTATACAGAATGTGTACATACATATTTTATCTGTGGTAAATATTATTTATAAATATTTTTTTATTAAGTAAGCGAAAGATATAAAAGATTAAAACAAGAACCTATTAGATATATTTCTTTCTGTAAAAAATATTTTTTTCAGCCCATTTATTTCTAAGATTTATATTATATAAAAAGATTACTGTTATTATTATAAAAGATAGGTATTATTGGCGATGAGTAGATTTCCCTATTGGCTGTTTTTGGAACTAGCGACAGCAGTTTACAAATACTATGTACTTAAAAATAAGAATCTTTATTATTTAATAATATAATAGTCTATGGATAAGTCTATAAACACTGCACAGACTATATTTTGATTTATTGTCTATGACCTTATTTGGACTATAGCGATCAAAATGCTTAACATTTAATTTGTCAAAGCATTTTGTATGGTAAATTGTGTGTGTGTATGTTCACTTTACCTGCCATAACACAAAAATAAACACATACACACACACTTTTGTGCACATTTATGGCACAGTATCTTTCGGATAAAAAGAGGGACAAATTTTTGTCAACTTTCATTCTCCTGACTCCTCTTTTGATGATAATATTTTAACAAAAATATGATAATTTTTGATGCTTATCTAATATTATAGATACAGATAACATATGTACATAGATTCTCAAAAGTATGTTTTTTTTTTAAATAATCTACATTTTTTCCGTTTTTGTTTTTAAAGAACTGTGATGTCATTTTAATTTACAGCTAAAAACTAACAAATATATATCCTATTTCGTTTAAAAAAATAAAATGAGAGAATTAATGTAAAATACATATTTTAAGATGTACCTACAAATCGCCTCCACGCCATTTAGTATTATGCTGTTAATTAAAATATAGGATATAGAGACAATGAAAAAGTGGGTAAATTTTGAAAATATTTAGCAAATTTTAAGATAAAAATTTATCATTTTTCTAAATTTCAATAGGTGTATCATTTGATAAATTGAGGAGCAATTTTTTTTCTCGACTTTGAAAAGAAGGTTTCCAATAGAAATGTATTGTGAGTAGATTTTAATCATTTAGATTTACTTCATATCATTAATGAAATCCACACAATAAGTAGAAAAATTAAAAGTATTAATGATTATACAATATATTATAGATCTTTACATTCACTGGTCGGTAATGACTATGTCTTTGAAGGTAGGCTTTTATAAAACAAACATTTTTTTAAATAAAACTATATTTTCGGATTTTTTCGCGGATTTATTTTGATTTTTGGTTCCCGAAGTTTCTCTCCCGTGATTATGATTATATAAAGAAAGATATGATAAAGTATTCGAAACGTCGGGAACCAAAAATTAAAATAAAAACGGCAAAAAATCCTAATAGATAGTCTTATATAAAATGTCAAATATTCGCGTAAATTTAAAAAAGAAACATGTTTTTGATCTCATAAATTAAATATATACATCCAAAAGAACTAAAACAAAATGAAAATTTTCAAAATTTACCCAAAAATTTTTCAAAATGTAGTGTGTTCGAGTAGATATCATGATAGTCTTATAAATATGTAAGTATAAAATTAAATTTTTAAAATGTATGTACATTCATGATATTTTTATATCAATACCAGGCATGAATAAGTTTGTAAAATGTGTATGAAAAGTTTATTTTTGTTAACTTTTTTATTTTTACGCCTTTTCCTTTTTAAATTAGTCAGCGGCAGTTATATAACGTGATCGGCAAACATCTTAAACAAAAAGAAATGGAGAAAAATAAGAAAAAGTGATTAATTTTCAGTACTCTGAAATTAATTTCATGAAATAAAAAGAAACAAATGTCGTATAGAAATAAATATATTTCAAAATTATTTAGTATCAATTTTAATTTTTTTTTTTAATATTTAGTAAAATATTCAAATAAACGGACAAATTAAATTCGCGACACTAATAGTGTTGCGTTACACAAAAAAAATGTTGCCATATATTAATTAACATTACATTTATCGAAACACTCGTCTCGTAGTACATTAAATTATTTTAGTTTCATGCAATGAATGCATTATAAAGTTAAGATATTTACATGAAATTGTCAGCGAATTAATTTTACAAAATTTTTGTTAATAATTTCATTAAATTAATTTCATTAAAATTTTAAATAAAACTATCTTTTCGGATTTTTTCGCGAATTTATTTTGATTTTTGGTTCCCTAACCACCAAACCAAAAATCAAAATAAATTTGCAAAAAAATCCGAAAACATAGTTTTATTTAAAATGTCAAGTATTCATTAAAATTGTTGCAGTCTTGAAATAGTTAAAAGAACAAATAAAAAGAACAAGGCGTCGCTAGATGGCGTTGTTGCACATTGGAAATATTTTGATAAAACTCCATATATGCGGGAATTGCTAATAAAGTTGACGCCATAAAACTAGTTACTGGCTTCTAATTACGTTTTGTAATTAAATTATCAAGACAATTGCCATCCATTGTATTAGAAAATTTCTATTTATACTAGAACAGTTTCCCAACCTTTCTTCAGTTGAGACTCCTCGTATTATAAAAAAATATTCCATGACCCCCCACGCCACCCCCCTACGCCACCCCCCTACCCCTCCTTATTTTTATTATTATATTAAAACACATTATTTTAACGATTTTTATTTATGTAAATTTATACAAAATAAACCCCTCTCTACGCCCCCTTAGGGGAGGGGGGCCCGGTTGGGAACTCCTATAATATATACCTAAAAATGATACATTCATACAAAACATATTGTTAAAATGTATGCAGAAGTAAATATGTACCTTCTTGTACAGTTTAAAACGGGATGAAAATATGTTCAAAGAAATTAAATTGTTTTTCATATATGCCATTTTTAGTTTTAAGTGTATATTTTTATTTAAAGTGAGATTTAAGGGTTAATTTGTAATTTATTAGAAACGTGATATTGTGGAAAATAAATGGTTTAAATAAATTAATAAGAAGTTTTAATAAATGTGCCATGTTTGATTCCTATAAACTATTAAAAAGATAGTTTTATTTAAAACTATCGACTCACCCTCGCTTCGTCGTCCGTATATTTTAATTTTTTTGAGCGGAACCCTAATTCTTTTACTGAAATAAAAGTAGCATCAACTACCTGCCAGTGAAAGTCCCGTCAAAATCGGCCCATCCGTTTCGAAGATTAGCCGGAACAAACAGACAGACATTTTTTTTAAATTGTCTTATAAATACCGTATATAATTCCATATGCATTTAGTAAAAAGCTGTTATTTTGACATTAAAAACAGACACTTCAATTTTATTTATCTGTATAGACGTCAAATATTCGTGTAAGAAAAATATTATGGAAAGGTTTTATGCGTGCAATAAGTTAATTTCACGAAAAACCGCGGAATCCAGATTAAAAAAAAAATGGCTGAACCGATTTTAACATAACTTTTATATGTTATGACTTTCGTTTTTGGCATGGAATATAATGAGGACCGAATGAAATAAGCCATTGCTAGTTGCAAATAAAAATCGTATAAATTTCTTTATTTTTAAGAATAGCTACAAAGTTTTAATTCTTGAAGCAAATCGAAAACGGTTTCAACAAGTCGATATTTCATATTGAAAGTAGCGCGTCTCGCGTCCACTGATCCGTAAGACATGTTTAATGTGAACAGATCCGGGTAAAACTGTGAACAACAAGAAAAATTATTAATAAAACTAGCTTTATCCCGTGACTACGTTCGCATAAATTATTTTTAGACGATTCGTTGCTTTAGTGCATATACGAGTATATGTTGAAACGACCAATACCTACTTTAAAACAAAATTTTATTTCTAATATTTATATATACATATGTATATATAGACGGCACGTTTGGCTCAGTTTATAATGACCCTATTTGCTGTGCCAGTGGTCGCGGGTTCGAGTCCCGCTGGGGGCATCCATTTGTGTGATGAGCGCGAATGTTTGCACTTCAGTCTTGGGTGTTTAAATTTATATGTATGTATTTAAAGTTATATATGTGTAGTGTATCAACTATCTGGTATCCATAACACAAGCCCCGTAGCTTACCATGGAACTAGATGGCGCTGTGTGTTAATGTACCTACATATTTATTTATTTATTATTTATATAATATTTTTCGGTTTTATTCAAGCAAAATGTGTATTTAATACCAATAGAATTAACATTTAAAATTCAATAATTCTGTATTAAAAACTCTTTCGGTGAATTGGTCGTTTGGACTTTGATAAAATATTCAATTATATGTATAAAGTATAAAGGGTCTTACCTGCAAACCAACAATAGGTTCAGTATTAAATTCTTGAGATAATTCGATGCATTTGAGAATTGTCGCCCGTTGCGGAGTTACGTGTAATAGTTGAAATTTGGCCTGAAAAATAATATATACCAAATAAAATTATTATAAACTAGAGGCTCGCCCTCGCTTCCCCCAGATTCGTCTTTAGTAAAACAAAAACAAAATCCCGCGGGAACACAAGTGCACTGTCTATTCCTGTCACACTTATACTTTGGACAACTCGTGTTCTCTAATGAGTGGGGGTCAAACACCGCCAATATCACAATTATAGTCTGCTTTATACTGAGATTTTTTTTCCATAAATTACGATATTCGGTAGTATAATGACGACATGATTGGCTCAGTTTGTAGTGACCCTACTTGCTCTGCATTCATTTGTGTGATGAGCACGAATGTGTGTACTCCAGTCATGGGTGTTTATATTTATAATATGTATGTATTGAAAGTTATATATGTGTAGTGTATCAACTATCCGGTATCCATAACACAAGCCTCGTAACTTGCCATGGAACTAGATGGCGCTGTGTGTTAATGTCCCAACAACAATAACATATATAATAATAACTCTTGACAGAAATATTCAATAGCTACACCTGACCCAACCCGGAACTCGAATCCAGAACCTCCGGATCGGTCATACATGCTAACCACTAACGTACCTCCCTTTTCTTATCGACTGCCTCACGTAACTGCATTATGATGTTCCGACTGCCGGCTGACACATTCCATCTGGAAAATAAGAAAACTATATAAGTACTATATAAGTACTAAAATATAGAATTAGCCTCGATTTATTATTGTTGCGTTGATGATGTTGATACACAATGAGCGTATGAAAAGTGTCTTAAAAAAGAAGCGCATAATTCGAAATTGTGCACTTTTTTCAAATGGTTCTTTTTTCTTTGCTTTTCGGATAATAAAACTCACATTGTTTCGTTTAAAAAAGTGCTTTATGTGGTGTGCGTAAGATCGAATTTGTGTTCAGACAATTAGAACTTTCGATTTTTGAATTTTATTCTTTGGTTTGACTTAACGTCACATGTCGACGCCACTTTTTGAAGAGATATTTGTTAGGAAATGTGTATCTATTTTTTTTAGGCTATCGATGTTGTCAACCCAGAAAATTGTCGATTTCTCGGAACATACCTACATATGTGTATAGTATAGTGGGTCTACTATTCGATACGACCCGTAAGAGATGGGGTGGTAAATACACTTTCGGGCTGCTACGGAGTATTTAGTTACAGAAAATCCAGTAACGATCTGCCTGATCCGGGACTCGAACCTAGGATCTATAACCAAGCATAGGCATAGCATAGCATAGCCACTAGGCAAATGAAGCAGTCAATTACTGATTCTTGGGCATAACAGGATACCTTTTAAAGATTTCATCCAATTTATATTAACTTACCTACTCCACTGGAACTGATAAGCTCTTGAGAGAAAAGCCATAGCATGGTACTGGTGTCGTTCCATCACCCACTCCTTGGGACAAGTACCCTCGATGTGGTTGTGACCGTCGAAGTCTGGGAACATGTCGCATGCGGCTTCACGCATTATCTGTTAATTCGAAGGTTACCTTCAACACGTTTGGCTCAGTTTGTAATGACCCTACTTCCTGTGCTAGCTGTCGGGGCTTTGTGTCCCACTGGAGCATTCATTTCTGTGTGATGAGCATGGCAGTTTATACATATTTATATATATATATATATATATATATATATATCTATTTTAAAGTTATATAACATGTGTAGTGTATCAACTATCCGGTATCCATAACATAAGTACGTATCCTAACCTACTAACATGCATTTCTCAATATTAAAAAAAGGTGTCACAGACCATCATTGGTACTGTAGACCAAATGCTATCTCCACAAGATAATTTGCTTAGAAGACCAGCGTTAGAGATATGCCGGTCTTCTATAGTGGCTTGTCTCATAAAAACATGCTTAAAAACATAACCGTTTAGCTCTCCAACAATATTTTGTCCAAATTTGGACCGATAATAATTATTGTTTTAATATTGATACGTTGTTAATATTGTAACAGCAATCATAGTCACGGGAGAGACTGCTGTCCATGATTGCTGTAAAATTTTCGAAACTTCGGGAACCAAAAAAAAAACCAAAATAAATCCGCGAAAAGATCCGAAGAGATAGTTTCATTTAAAATGTAAAATATTCGCGTAAATATAAGAAAGTATTACTAACCAATAATCGTAAATCGTCATTTATAACATCGCGTGACTGTCACAAAAACCCTCTAACTTTTTTATGTTGGCAACAAAAGTTGTAAACAATTAGTTGCGGACCCGGTCTACTAAAAGCAGTGGTAGAATGAATACAAAAGTTGGCAACTATATTGATCGCTCGGATCAGGCTTGCTCAGTTGGCAACACGAGTTGATAACATAAACATGTCTCTAACATGGACAAACGAGTTAACTGAAACGTTGATAGATTTATATCACAAACATAATATGTTATGGGATCAAAATGACGAGGATTATAAAAATAAAATTAAAAGAAAAGAGGCTTTAGAAGCTATCAGTGGTATAATGGGAATACACGAGCTTGAATTGAAGAGGAAAATTAAAAATTTGACAACACAATTCTTTAGAGAGAGAAAGAAAACACGAAAAGAATGTAAATCTGGCGGGTTATCTGGTAATTCAAAATGGTTTGCTTATCAGCGGCTGCTTTTTTTAACAGATACTAATAAATCTAGGTCGTGTATGGAAAAAGATTCAAGTGAAACAAATGTAAGTATGCAAGAATATATATATTAACACTATTATATATGCTAAAGTTTGTATTTGTGTAATTGTAAGTTTGTTACTCCTTAATGCTAAAACGGCTGGACGGATTTGGATGTAATTTCTTACACAGATAGATTATAAGCTGGAGTAATACCACCTTTTGGCTTAATATTATTATTAACAGTAGACCTTTAGATCATAGTCTTCCTAGGTTAAAATCTATATTTATACAAATCCACACAATAAAATTGTTACTAAGTACTATAGTTTTTAAAATTTATGTCTGTCTGTCTGACCGCATCAAGGAAAAACCACTTGAGGGATTTTGATGAATTTTTTTCTATGATGATATCTGGTTATCCGGGTCAACATATAGGATACTTTTTACTGTGGGAAAATATCTCATCTCTGAGAAATTTATACTAAGCGTTAAAACGTCAACAATATTTATTTATTATTATTTATTTAAAGTGAATAGGTCTGAGTGAGAGTAACAAAAAAGTGAATGAATTTTAATGAAACTCTACAATAATATAGCTCATATATGAAAATAATAAATAGGCTACTTTTTATCCCGGAAAAATGTACGGTTCCCGTGGGATAGGTTTGTTTTTGTTAGGATGATAAAACAACTACAACATTTTTCCCTGTGTAAGATAAAGTTATTTTATAAAATTATTTAATTTTAGGATTTCAACCCAGAAACGAGCACTGCGAAAGTAGTGTACCAAAATCGAAGTCCAGTACCAGATGATGCTACAACACACGACTCAATAGTTGAACTGTCACTAGACCGACTGGATTCTGAAGGATGTTCAACCAAATCGGATAATGAAAAAATAATAACAGGCTCAAAAAGAAATTTTCTAAAGGCCTATAACGATTCTAATGAAAGAGAAATTAAGAAATCTCGAAACGAATTCACTATTTTTGGTGAATATGTTGCAAACAAAATAGAAGCTTTAAATACAAGCTACGCTCAAAACGTAGTAGAACATCTGATATCTAATATTTTATTTGAAGCGAGCATCGGAAAATATGATTATCCCACTGATGCACACATTTCGTAATTTTCAACAAAGTCACATTCAAGTTAGCTTTAAACAAATCGATAATTATAATCTATATTTAACTTTATAATAAAAGATTTTAAGACATGTATTGGTTTTACTGTAACTAATATTATACTATAATTGGAGACTTCAACGTCTACGACGTCGAAAAGTCCCGTGACCACGTTTCGACGGGAACAAAAAAATCTAAACATAACAGAGTGAGAATATTAGAAATAATTATCAATTAAAAATTAAAAAGAAAAGCCCTACGCAAATTAATTGTTATTTAACGATTACACTGGCACGCGTGAGACACTTAATAGAGTAATGATACGCCAAAATGCCTTACATCATTTTGGGAAAGAGCTGATACTCTTACACTGCTGGACCGATATTAATTAACTAAACATACGCAAGGAAACTGGCTTCCAAATGAAAAAACCCCATCGAAATCGGTCCATCCGTTTGAGCGCTACGATGACACACACAGACAGACAGACACACACACACACAGACAGACAGACATCGATGTCAAACTTATAACACCTCTCTTTTCGCGTCGGGGGTTAAAAATAAGATCTTTTACCGTAAAAATATATGTTTTTCCATAAAATTTGCTTCAATCAAATTCTTTTATAGGAGAATCACTTACTTGTATCATCCTTTTCACGCTGTAGGGCTTATCGAAATGTTCTCTTAGAGCGGACGTCGTAGCGTTTGCTATCCACTTCAACTTCACAACATTGCCGATACAAATCCAAGTGACAGTCACGCAGACACCAGTCACTGAGACTAACACGCCTTTGCTAAAAAAATGAAAAATGAAAAATAAAAAGTACTAAGACGTAAGATAGAGAAATATAACGTAAAAGAGGAAAATATAAAACCATTTCTTAATATCTCATGCCTCTGTATTTTTTGTGGAGGCTCTCAAAATTTTCGCTTCGCTTAGGTTTATTATAAATTAAACCTCAATCAAACAAGGGCCTCACTATAACCTGTGCTAAAATATCTTTACTATTTCTTTTCCAGGATAAACAGTAGCAGCAGTTTATTCACTCTCGTCCAATGAAAATCTCGTCAAAATTTAGCTGTTTTCCATCGGTTTTATTCTATTAAAACCTTTTCTATAGAATGAACCCAGAGTTTTATTAAATATTCAATATATATTTTATTACCCATTCGGATCTGGTCTCACGTCCCATCCCTGGTATGGCATGTTACCATATCGCAGTGCTGCTATTCCGATGGGCCCTATAAAAAAGAACAAATATCTACTTACAGTCTTTTAAAAGCTTAATAATCGAGGCATTATTTAGTAGCTAGCATTTACGGCTATGGATGTGGAGGTCCTGAGTTCGAATCCTAGTTAGGGCTAAGATTTTCTGTCTTTCTGTCTGTTTGTTATAATTTGTCTTAATTTTTGTTTGTCATTCTGTCAGTTCCGGCTAATCTCCGAAGCGCCTGGACCGATTTTGACGTGACTTTCGCTGGCAGATAGCTGATGTTATAAGGAGTAATTTAAGCTACTTTTTCTTCTATAAAAAGACTCAGGGTTTCTCGCAATAAATTTAAAACCCATGAAGTTGTGGACAATAGCGGCAAACCGTAGGAACTATAATAATAAAAATACTCACAGAGCACACCGGTTCTAAACTGCACTGTGAGCTTATCTTCATTAAACTTGTAATCGTTGACGTAATTGCTCGTCCACAGTTTCCTTGCTTCTTGCCACTGACATATGACTGGGGGTTCCGTCCACATCACGTCTTGAGGGAGACTGTAAAAAGGACGAAACCTCAGTGATATTTCTAACCTAATTACTTTAGTTTCTATGTGTGTAATTTAGTAAAGTTGATTTTCAGGCTACAACAAAAGCATGCACCATATATAATGAACTAGCAGTACCCGCGGCTTTGCCCGCGTCCAATCTTCCGATCGCTAACAAAACTCACAGGATCACCCGTTGGGCTAATCTGAAGATTACCTGAAAATTACATAAAAATCGCTCCAGTTGTTTTGGAGTCCATAGGAAACATACATACACACATAGATGTTTATTTTATTTCATCAACAATTTAAAATTTAACTCTCGGAAAATGGAGTCTTTTATGAAAATTTAATGACACACCGACTGCAGCGCCACGTACTGGGTCCGTTTGTATTTTCAAACCGTCCAGGAGCCCATTGAAATATACACACAAAATTTTATCCAAATCGGTCCAGTCCTTTAGGAGGAGTAGGTTGACAAACACACCTACAGAAGAATTATATATATTAAGATATTATGTTAAATCAAATGTTACTTTTGATTTGCAATTATAGCATCGAAAACTTTTTAAGTTAAAAAGAAATTTAAAACAATGATTCTTAATCTAAAAGGTAAAGCGACTTTAATATTACCTAAAAGTAATTACACCGTTCAATAAGGCAGTGGTAGCCCAGTGGTAACGCGCTCGCTTGGGAAACCGAGTGGAGCGGGTTCAAATCCCGGGTCTTGCACATCTGATATTTTCATGTGCGAATCATTTCTAGCATGATTACCACTTGCCTTACGGCGAAGGAAAACATTGTCAGTAAACAAGCATGCCTGAGAGAAGCTAGCAAGTTTTTGAAAGACATATGAAATCCGCCAACCCACACTTGGCCAGCGTGGTGGACTGTGGCCTGATCCCCCTCGTATTAAAGGAATACAATACAACTACGGACTTTTATTATTTTTATTTAGAATTACCTTGTGTTTTTGACGACACGTTTGGCTCAGTTTGTACTAGTGACCCTACTTGCTGTGCCAGCGGTCGCGGGTTCGAATCCCACTGCGAGCATTTATTAGTGTGATGAGCACGAATGTTAGTTTTCCAGTCATGGCTGTTTATATTTATAATATGTATGTATTTAAAGTTATAAATGTGTAGTGTATCAACTATCCGGTATCCGTAACACAAGCCTCGTAGCTTACCATGGAACTAGATGGTGCTGTGTGTTAATGTCCCGATATATTTATACATATTCATACCTTCGTGGAGTAATTAATTTATTAAAAGAAACGTACCACAATCGATTCACAATTGGCGAAAACGTCGCGTGATCTAAACAAAAACATACTAACAACTAATAAAGATACACCTCCCTTTTAAAGTCGGTTAATAACATTTACCATACTTACTCGATACAGACTAGAGCCAGCTTTTCATATTGAGCTTCTATTTTCTTCAATTCTGCTTCTATCTCCTCAGGAGTTCGTGTGACGCCCGGTGGTGGCGGTGACGGCGCTCGATATTGTACTTGATATTTCATCGGCTGTAGTTGTTTAGGCAAATGTACTGGAAAATGAAACATATTGACTACATACATGATGACAATCATCACTCGTTGTCAATCAGGACGCACTTAAATTTATTTATTTACTAGCAACTCACTCTCGCTTCGCTCGGGTTAGTCCCTATCTTGCTTCCCAATACAAACTTTCATCCCCATTTTTACACCCTTAAGGGATGATTTCCGGGATAAAAAGTATCAAGACGTCTAACCTTAAAATAATTTCGCTATAATTTTACATATATTTAATTTTTTAAATGTAAAAATGTTCTTTTGAAAATATAATTATTTAATAAAGCTTTATTTCTTTCTGCATTAATACGTATTGTATATTTTCGCCATTTCTTTCGTCAGTTCTTCTCAGGTCTGAGGCTTCTTCTTTCCGAACTGGTAGTAGACTCATGACGTTCAGTAAACAAATTGTAATAATTTAATGCTGAATAAAATATTTTGATTTTGATCTTGGAACGGCTTACCTCTGTCCAAATTTCACCTTTCGCCACTGGTAGATACATATAACATACTAGCATTGCCCGCGGCTCCGCCCGCGTTCAGATGACCAAAAACCAAATTCTTAGGTTTCACATATTAGTATAATCTTACAATTCAGTTTTTGTGTTCCCTGTTTTGTATTTCCCGCAGTAAAAAGAATCCTATATGTTGACCCGGATAACTAGCTATCACCATACCAAATTTTATCAAAATCCCTCCAGTGGTTTGTCTGTAGTGTAGTTGTCTGTCTGTGATGCTGTAACAGACAGACAGATAAAAATTCTAAAAACTATAGATTCGGCCTCTGTATCGATAAAAATGTTTATTTCAATAAGATTTTCCAAAAAATATTTAATAAATACAGATTCGTCTTAGTTACAATTTTATTATTCGTATAGATATTGACACATGATATGCAGACATGATATAATGCAGTGATAAATAAATCTGACAAACCCATTGATTATTCTAACATAGTCTTTTAACTAATATTATCGTGATAAGATAATTAGATATATGTCAAATAACGTCGGCTATCGTGGTCTAATCGCATGTCTGTATAAATATGTAAAAGCAAACACCACTCACTAATATATCACAAAATCTCTGAAAATCTGATTCTTCATAAGGAGAGATAGGAAAAGGCTCCAACTAAATCTAATAAGACAAGATTTTTGGAAATTCAACCCCTAAAGGGATATAAAACTACGAGCTCTTCGACTGCGACTGCGCTCTGCCAAAAGAGTGATACACATTTATAATATAACTAGCGATTCACTCTCGCTTCGCTCGGGTTTGTCCCTAGCTTGATTCTCCATAAAAACTTTCATCCCAATTTTCACCCCCTTAAGGGATGATTTTTGGGATAAAAAGTACCCTATGCCTGTACCAGGGTCTCAAATTACGAGTATCTTCTTACCAAATTTCATCTAGATCGGTTCAGTAAACCCCTACAATGTCACAAACTCACAAAACCTCTTTATATATATATATATATATATATATATATATATATATATATACTATAAAGAGATATAATATTAGTATAGACTAGCGAGTCACCCTCGCTTCGCGCGGGTTCGTCCCTCGGTACATTTTAATTTTTTTGAGCGGAACCCTAATTTTTTTACTGAAATAAAAGTAGCCTAAGTCACTCCTTATAATATCAACTACCTGACAGTGAAAGTCCCGTCAAAAACGGCCTAGCCGTTTCGGAGATTAGCTGGAACGAATAGACAGACAGACAAAAAATTTAAAAATTGTATTTTTCTTATAAACACCGTATATAAATCCATATGCATTTAGTAAAAAGCTGTTATTTTGACATTACAAACAGACACTTCAATTTTATTTATCTGTATAGATTAGCAAAATAATTCTATGTTAGACAATTCAGCAACACGCTATTATAATATACACACAATTGATACGTTCGATAAGATATCACTTATCTATCGATAGCTGTCTTCAGATGGAAATGGTCATCTATACTTACTGTCTTCCCGTGCTCGTGTGATGATGTTTTTTTTCATAAATTTACACAAAAACACGTGAAAGTTGTAAAAATGCGTAAATATTCGTAAACGGTTGTGTATTTTGAGTAACAATGTGTTTTATTACGTGAAGTTTTTTTATCTTTGATGGATCTATTAAAATGATATTTAGCACTACGTAAGTTTTGGTTTACTTTTTCTGTGTGTCTGTTGTGTTTATTTCTGTTGTTAGGTTTGTGTATTTTTTAGGTCAGAACATTGGTTTTTGGATGATATCGGTTTTGTTTTAAACTATTCATTGATGATTGATATCAACTTCTTCAATATATTTCATTTCAATATATTTATAATATGTATGTATTTAAAGTTATATATGTGTAGTGTATCAAGTATCTGGTATCCATAACACAAGCCTCGTAGCTTACCATGGAACTAGATGGTGTTGTGTGTTAATGTCCTGACATATTTATTTATATTTATTTATTTATATTATTTATTTATATTTTCTTGATGTAACTTAATTCTAAGTACTTGTTGATACATAATTTTTCTATTTGGTATAATCTAGTTAGAACTTTACGATATCACTTTTGTAGACTTTAGAAACTCGTTCTAAGATTCACTGATAATATTTTTGTGACTAAATAAATAAAAAAGTGTGGCAAATATTTCTATTGATAAAACATACGAAGTTTTTTTGGCAACTTGAAAAATGAGCTACTCAATTCAACTGTTTGTTTTTATGTACTATACGTGTATATGTGTTTTTATGTACTGAACTGCCTCGGTGGTGTAGTGGCTAGCATGCACGGAGGTCCTGGATTCGAAATTCGGGTCGGACAAAGTTTAGTTATTGAGTCTTTCTATCAAAAAAGACTCTGTAACAGTTCGAAATTGGGAGGTTGGCGGTGTGTCATGCCCGTGCCTGAGAGAGCACGTAAAGCCGCCGTTTGATCTCTCACCAGCCTTGTCGAATTGTGGTCCTACCGGAGTATGAGAGTGACAGGAATAGAGAATGAATTTGTGTTTACGTGTACACTTGTAATAACGACACGTTTGGCTCAGTTTGTAGTGACCTACTTGCTGTGCCAGCGGACGCGGGTTCGAATCTCGCTGGGGGCATTCATTTGATGTGATGAACACAAATGCTTGTACTCCAGTCATAAGTTAGTTCAGGTACTACTGGGCTACCACAATCTTTAAAATTCTGCACTCCATATACCTACATTATACGTATCATTATCAAAACAAAAGTAAATGATTCATACATAATAACAACTGAGGCATTATTTATGTATATGATATTACGATTTGATTCTTATCAATAGAGATTTTACTTCTTTTGGGACGTTTGAAAAAATTGTGAGAGTAAAATTTTTACGATGAAATTAGGAGATTTTTTTCCAAACGTGCCAAAAGAAGTATAAGTTCAAAAATCACAATAAAACGTACGCTCATCGCTGGGTATACAAAAAATATAAACATGCAAAAATTACAACCAACAGTCTAACACATGGGCTACAACTACGTTAGTACCTATAATTCTTTCTTAGATTTACGCAAATATTTGACATTTTAAATATAACCATCTTTTCGGAGTTTTTCGCGGATTTATTTGGATTTTTGGTTCCCGACGTTTCGAATGCTTTACAGCTATATCTGTAACAACTTTACTTTCGAGAAATCTAACACCTCAGTCTCTCCCGTGACCATGATTGCTATAAAGCATTCGAAACGTCGGGAACCAAAAATCAAAATAAATCCGCGAAAAAATCCGAAAAGATAGTTTGATTTATAATACGTTAGTATAATTAAATCTTTTCATTATTATCTTTTCAGATTCTCCTTATATATTCTATTCATAGCTGCTGTAGGGGGGCGCGTTAAATACAACCGAAAGGATGAAAAAAACTTGAGATGTCTTACTGGATATATGACAGATTTACAATCATGGGTTGACGAATATGGTTCTCTCATAAATACAACTGGTAAGTAAATGGATCCCATTGATCATATTCAAATATGCGTTCAAGTCGAGTTATCTATATGTAAATAAATAAAATAAAAAATAAAAAAAAAACCTATATTTCTTACAGAATTACATGTTACAAAATGCTTATGTTGGTAATAAAAAAAAATAAAAAAAATAAATCTAGTGTTAGTGTTATAAATTTTCTCGTAAATATATTAATTATAACTTATATTATGAATATTCTTTCTATATGTACTAACAACTAAAAATAATATAAACCTCCAGATTCCCTCTCAATGTTTTTCATCGCTGGAAGACGAGTGTTAATCATTTTAATTTAATTTATAATATTATATTTAATTTTAATTCAAATTATTTGCTTTAAAGGGGATACCAACCACAAAATTTGAAATTTTGATTTGATTTGAAATAAATAAATAAATTTTAAATTAATCAATTAATTATATGTTAATTTTTATTTCAAATGTAAATGTATATTGTTATCTAATTTATAGTTTTTATTGTTGTGTTATAATAAATAAATTGTTAATTGTTAAATTGTCAATCATGTTGTGTGACCCTTTTTTTTTTTTTTTTAACGTTGGGAAATGCATTTACGCACGACGTGTGGGACTCACCGGCATAATACAGCCAGTACTACCCACTAAAACCCAACAAAACCTTCCCCCGTCTTAATGGGGCGTCGCAGGATCGCTTACGCATTCAACTACGACGCCCCGACGGCAGGTCCGCCGAAGCAGACCACCACAACCATGGGGTTGCTCCACAGTCCACTCTGCTATCAGAGAAGTACCAGGAGCAACCCGCATGGTACACCGCCCCCCGAAGAGGGCCACCTCCCACCGCCCACCGAAGTGGGCAACCTCCCTGTGCGTTTTTTGGCTTCGCGCCCGGTTGGCTTGCCGGGCACTACTGAGCCCCCCCACCACGACAAGGTGAACGCACGTTGGGGGGGATGTTGTGTGACCCTGGGTTTTAGCTTCTCTTGAATTTCTAAATGCTAATTCCTGAGCAAGTATTATTACCTAAGTTAAACCTGTCTATTTTATAAAAAAATACCATTTGATAATACCATTCGTCAATTTTAAACGAGCGTATTACTTTCAGAAACCGATTCATCTGGAATAGATTTATCAGGCAGAAATAATGTCTTTGGACGGTTACAGCATCAATTAGATAGATTTAGTGCAGATGCGCTGAGTGCAAAGTATTTAAGCATGGCCAGGTGTAGTCTTTTGAGAATTCCTTCTGTAAGTAAATTTTCTTATTATTTTGTTACAACTTCACTTTATAGCTTATAACTGTTTAGATATTCTCAAGAAATCAAGATTTCGATCAGGTACAGAAATTGCCAGATCAGGTACAGATCGTACTATCTAAAGTACGGGGATGTAACACAACCTACTTCCAACTCCTGGCTATTACTGTTTTCTTGATAGAAATCCCAATAACAACACTTTGCGCAACCTGGGACTCAAACCCAAGATCTCGATCTGCAGCCTGGTATATACAATATTCTGGTATATGCTAGCCACTATACCAACAAAACGATACATTTTCACAACGTAATTACACTTTTTGCAAATAAAAATAAAACCGCCTGTATTTTATTCATACTCGTCTTTCACACGTCATTTTTATTTCAGATATTCAAAATGGTAGATAAATTAGGCAGAAGTCTGTCTGATACCCTTGAATATGCCTCGTTCTATGGTAATAATTTTGGTATGGTATATTCAGATTCTGATATGTACGATGTTAGACTTAACGCTACTGAGAGAAATGAAATAAATGTTAGCCAAAAATATATAAGAAAACGTAAGTTCCAATACGGGTATGTACTGTCATAAGCATTTGAAAACCTATAATAAAGATTGTTATAAATCAATGTTTGTTTGTATGAATATGAATAGCCAACGCATAAGAGTAGGATTTTTAAGTGAACTGTTAATCTGTAAATATAATTTAACAGCTTGCCCTCCGAAAGATCACCTGAAAAAAATCCATTTAACTGTGTCCCTTACTGTGCGAGTTCATTTTGGACCAACTGCTCCTTTAATATCTTATGTTCACCTTGAGTCAAAATATCCTCTAAAATGACTTCAAACATTGTATTGTTACATATTAAGTTTATTAAGAAATAATTAAGTCAACGTGCAGAGCAAATTTTACTATATTTGTTACATTATTACAGAGATGATTCAATCATACAAATGATTAGATAAATAAAGTGTCATCCTAGAAAAGATACTTAGATTTTATTTACAATCTAATGTTTTAGTCTACCTTTCAGAATTAACCATGTGGTCAGTGGGCTTCCATGGCTTCACATTTCCGAACCTTAAAGAATTAGATCTTAGATCTTGTTCGATACAAGCAATAGGCAATTACTCATTCCAGAGAATGCCACGATTGCAGAGCTTGTTTCTTGGAGAAAACGAAATACATTATATAGAGGCGAACGTTTTTAATGGTCTTACATCTTTGAAACATTTAGACTTGAGCAGAAATTACGCATATGACGAAAATGGTATGTTGAAAGGTCTACAAATCGATTCACAGGATATTTTAGAAAATATAAATTTGGAGTCACTAGATTTATCTTTGACCAACTTCGGTCAACGAAACGTTGATGTAATAAAAAGCATAGAGCACAGTGTAATTAGGATGTCCTTATGTTATTCAGGCATATCGAGAATTAGGGAAGATGTTTTTAGTTTCAAACGGTTAAAATATTTGGACGTTTCTGGCAACAGAGAAATATGCTCTTTTAATTTTTTGAGAAGTTTCGAGCAAACTTTAGAAGTATTATATGCTGAAGACGTAGGCATGAAAAATATGGAGGGTTTCATCAATTTTACAAAATTAGAAATTCTGAAATTAACTAACAATGAAATAACACAGATACCAAAACGCGTAGCGTATACACTAATAAATCTGCAAATACTCGACTTAGATTCTAACAGACTTGGGACGTGGTTTTCCAAAACATTGACCAGAATGAACAATTTGAAGCTTTTGTCGTTAAGAAATAATAATATTAAAATAATAACGGAAGAAATGTTTTTCGACATAGAAAAGTTAGCATATATAAGTTTATCTGGAAATTCTCTAGTGTGCAACTGTTACGCTAAAGAAATGTTCAATGTCGGCCTAAACAGTGAAATGAGAAGAAAAGAAAAATTCATATCTCGCATGACACCTGCCAATCATGAATCTATATACTTTCACACCGGATTTATGGATTATAACGATATTATAGATATACGTCAGAATATATTAACTCAATGTAAAATGGTAAGAAATTGTCAAATCGAATTGCCTTCATATGCGGGTAACTATCTGTTCTTAGATTATGACGATCTTAACACACAATATCTATGTATGTCGGCGGATGATGGAAAATCTGAAGAAATTTTTAGAATTCCCAGCTGTTCGCGTATCTCAAGAGATTTATTATCACAGGATATAGAGGATGAATGGAATAAATTTTTGCTTTTCATTATACCTGTGGCATTGTTGCCAATGTTGTTATTTGTTTACATATTCAGGAGGAATTTCAAATATTTTTTCATAACGTTAAGGAATTCAGCAACACTGAGTTTAATCAATAAAAATAGTACATCCGCTGGTAAGTTTGAATATTGCTGTATTATAGTTTAGATAATAATAATAATAATAATAATGTGCCTCCAACTCCGGCTTGTTACTGGGATTTCCTTAACAGAAATTCTTACTAATTAAACTTTGACCGATCCGGGACTCGAACCCAGGACCTCCAGATGTGCAGCCGTACATTTTAGTCACTACACCATCGAGGCAGTTATAGGTGAGATACCTACATGCAATAACTAACAATTAGAACAGATCGATGGACGATTTGATATTAAAAACATCTATAATGATACTGAACTCAATAACATGGGTTCGAATTCCGGGTCGGGCCAAGTACAGTTATTTAGTTTCTGTCAAGAAACTATTGGCCAAAATATTCTCTATATGAAACGAGATATACCTTGACCTTGGAACTTGAAGCTGAAGCAAAATATTGAAAATTAAAGTAGGTAGTTGAAAAAATTATAATCGACAGTTGTACCGACTTTAAAATCACTTAAAAAGTGTTTATTAAAACCACAGATTGGTCATCCCTTGAAATCAATCAAATCCTTATTACATATATAAAAAACTCAAAAATGAGTTTTATTTGTCAAGATGTTTGTTGTGTGATGTATGTCAAGATGTTTTCCACCAAAAACATATTACGTATACTTCTCCTGCTTAAGATTAACTTCGACTAATTTTATTTCGAATTCAAAAATATTCCATCTATACTAATATTATAAAGAGGGAAGATCTTTTCAACCGACTTCAAAAAGGAGGAGGTTCTCAATTCGACTGTTTTTTTTTGTTTTTTTTTTTGTTTTTTATGTTTGTTACCTCAGAACTCCGTCATTTATTAACCGATTTGGACAATTTTTGTGTTGTTTGAAAGTGTATACTTCCAGATTGGTCCCATTTAGATTTCAAAAAAAAATACCACCCCTAAAGGTGGAAAAATAGCTAATGATGAATTTAACCTACTTCTAATTGTCATATTGACTTGAAACTTTGCAAGTGTTTCTATTTCCGTTGATAGTACAGTGGTTCGATATGGTTGACCTGATCTGATGGTAAGGCCAGAAGGTGGATAGGTGGAACTCTTCAACGGCTAATAGTAGATACTTGAGTTTGGGCTTGTTTTGTTTGATTTGACAAGCCTAATACGTTAGAATTCTTACTTTGCTACTACTGTCTACACTAAAAAGGGAAAAATAAAAACTTTTTAACAAAAAATAAAAACCAACTTCAAACAAAAGCACTAAAAAGTAAAAAATAACTGATTGGTAGTTTTCATTTACTATACATACCTAATCAAATATTTTCGAAGTCGGTGTGCTTTGGCTAAGTAATTAAAGCCTACCTATTAAATACATACCTAATCAAATATTTTCGAAATCGGTGCCAGCCCATACAAAGAAAGGCACACCGACTTCGAAAATATTTGATTAGGTATGTATAGTAAATGAAAACTACCAATCAGTTATTTTTTTCTTTTTAGTGCTTTTGTTTGAAGTCGGTTATTTTTTGTTAAAAAGTTTTTATTGTTTGTTTGTTTGTACCGAATAAGCTCCGCAACTACTGGACCGATTTAAACCACTTTTTCACCATTAGAAAACTAAATTATTACGAAGTTACAAAGACTATCATTTATTTTCAAAAAAATTAGAGAGCCTTAATAAAATTGCAATAATGTAAACCAAAGTAGCAAAATTTTGCCTATAAAATTCATGTAACGTGTGCTGAGAAAACTATTGATGATATATAAAAATATATAGCCTACTAGCGACTCACCCTCGCTCCGCTCGGGTTCGTCCTTACTTACGTTTTAACGTTTAGTATCGATTTCTCAGAGGTGAGATATTTTCCCGCAGTAATAAATACCCTATATGTTGACCCGGATAACCAGCCATCATTATACCAAATTTCATCAAAATCCCTACAGTTGTTTTTCCATGATGCGGTAACAGACAGACAGACAAAAATTCTAAAATTTATAGATTCGGCTTCTGTATCGATAATAATGTCTATTTCAATAAGATTTTCCAAAAAATATTTAATGTACAGATTTGGCTTAGTTACGATTTTATTATATGTATAGATCTATTCTTTACTAAGCGTTAAAACGTACCTAAGGACGAGCCCGAGCGAAGCGAGGCTGAGCTGCTAGTTTTACATTAAAATAAACAATGATAGTGGATAGAATGAGAGTAGATAAAACTTAAAACTTATACTGACGAATATTTTAGAGGGTGCAATCTATCATTACGACGTTTTCGTCTCCTATTGCAATGAAGACAGAGCTTGGGTATTGGATCAACTTCTGCCACATGTGGAAAGAGATTGCAATATTAGCGTGTGCTTACATGAGAGGGATTTTCAGGTAATGACTTTAAATTTAAGATCTAATGTATGAATCATACATGCTCAAGAAAGAAAAATTGCAATTTTAAAAAACTAAAAACAAAACACTTAACTTCTACAAACTACTGTTTGCAATAAATAAATCAATAAATATGTTGGGACATTAACACACAGCACCATCTAGTTCCATGGTGAGCTACGAGGCTTGTGTTATGGATACCAGATAGCTGATACACTACACATATATAACTGTAAATACGTACATATTATAAATATAAACACCTATGACTGCAGTACAAACATTCGTGCTGCAGGACCCAAACCCACGATCACTGTTCAACAAGTAGGCTTACAAACTGAGCCGAATATGTCGTCAAAACACTAAACGTACGTAAAGTCGTAATTGAAACTTGTTCAAACGAATCCAATAAACCAAAACACCAAAGCTTTACTAGTAGCTTTTGAAGAGTTCCATTATTCACATCCTGACTCCAATAATATTATATCAGCTCGATGGTAACAAATTATTGTAACACTAGTGAGTCATCCTCGCTCCGCTCGGGTTTGTCCCTATTTGCCTTTTAACTTTTAGTATAGATTTCTCAGAGATGAGAGATTTTCCCGCAGAAAAAGTATCTTATATGTTGACCCAGAAAACCAGCTATCATCATACCAAATTTCATTAAAATCTGTCCAGTGGTTTTTCCGTGATGCAGACAAACAGACAGACAAAAATTCTAAAAACTATATTCGATATATCGATAATAACGACTATTTCAGTAAGATTTTCCAGAAAAAATTGGGTATGGTAGTTGGTTTATTAATTGTCAATATTATTAATAATATGACGATGAAAGCTTAAACTAAGACCATAATTTTTTTTTCAGGTGGGGCTATCGATATTAGAAAACATTGTATCGTGTATGGACCGATCGAGGTCCATAATGCTTATCATATCTAAAAGATTTCTGCTTAGCCAGTGGTGCCAGTTTGAGATGCATCTAGCACAGCATAGGTAAGTTAGTCAATACTTTCTTAGATTTATACGATTTTTTTTTCTTTTCAGATTTATTTTGATTTTTTTGTTACCTGGGATTTTCAGGGAAAAAAAAATCAAAATAAATCCGCGAGAAAATCCGAACAGATAGTTTTATTTAAAAAGTTAGTTAAGTTTTTGGCCTATTACATTCCTGATGAAACTATTTATTTGTAATTGATATAATAGTTGAGTTCGGTTTGTTTGTCGAAATTTACTAAATAACTTGTTATTAAAATCAATTATTCTTATTAAAGCCAAAGCCATTTATGTATGAAAGAATGAAAGTAGAAAAAAAAATTAATTTATTAATCTAACAAATTGAGAGTCAGAATGTGTGTGTGTGTGTGTGTGTGTATGTCATCAAAAAATTTACCCTTCATAAAATGATTACAAATATTTTTATTTATTTGTAAAAAGCACACTTACAACATACATATGAAATATTTTCAATTTAATTAATGTAATAATAATATACCTTATATGTATGTCAATTATAAGTGTACATAGCATTTAAATATTCATGTATTAAAAGTACAAAAATTATATATATATATATATATATATATATATATATATATATTCAATTCAATGTTACAGGCTTTTAGAAACCCGTCGAGAAGATCTTATTTTAGTCCTGCTAGAAGAAATACCAAGGCGTCTTCGCCCTAACACTTTACATTACTTGATGCTTACAAAAACCTATATAGTGTGGCCTAAAGAAGAATCTGAACAAAGTGTGTTCTGGAGAAGAATGAAGAAGAGTCTTGTTACACAAGTGTTAAAATACCAGGAAAATATTTCTTTAGCATGAATATTTATTATGATGAGCGTAGATAATATATATTTTTTTATGTTTAATTTTAATACCCACGAAAAGTGTTTTATTTTATTTCTTTTAACAGTCTTGGATAACGCCGTGTATGAAACAAGTGTGATTGAAAAGTGTCATTAGAGTTCATGTCATGAGATCACTTCCTAAGTGTTACTAGTCCAGAATATGGTCTATTCGTTAGCCAAGTTTCATCCAAATGTGTTCTACACCTCATTACATTTAGCGATTGATTTATGCAAATATTTGACATTACTTAAAATTATTTTTCGATATTTTTCCAGGTTTTAATTTTTTTTGCTACCAACTTAAAAAATTTTAATTGCATTTTGAGACGTCAAAATTTTAGTCTTATTCGCGAATATGTTTTATAAAATTCGTGAAAATTCAAAATAAAAAAAAAATACGACAAGCTAGTTTCATTCAAAGTACAAACACTTCAATAAACTTCCAAATATAATATTAGCAGATAAATATCCAAACTTTATCTCTTACGGAAATCAAATCCACTATCTTCAGGGTGTGCGTCATAATCTTTTCTATAAATATTTAATCTGTTTGTATTTTTACATATAAAATGCCAAATGATTAACATAATTTTTAACCGACGAAAAAAAGGAGGAGGTTCTCAATTCGACACGTATATTTTTTGAATTAAAACTTCTTTGGGCGTGACTGAGGGTTAAGACAATACATTGGAAAAATGAGTGTCGCCAAAGTAAGCGTCAAATTTATTATTAATAATTAAAAAAAATGTATTGCTATTTGTAATCTATACTAATATTATAAAGAGACAGAGTTTGTTTGTTTGTTTAGTTGTTTGTTTGTTTGAACGGGCTAATATTAAAATCTACTAATCCGATTTGAAAAAATCTTTTTGTATTAGATAGCCCATTTATTAAGGAAGGCTTTAGACTATATAGCATCCATGTCATCCATGTTCGATACAAACCGTTAAAATGTATCTAGAGAGAAAACCGAGCGAAGCGAGGGTGAGCCGCTAGTTATTTATAAAAATATACTTTATTATTAATAATTTTATAACAATTATTAATTTAAAAATGAATATTTATTACTGTGGGATGAATGTGTATAAATTAAATAAAAGCTATTATGACGTGAAGATGTGAAGTGTGAATGAAAGAAAGAATGAGCGAAAGGGACAGTGTGTGTTCGGCCATCTTGAATGAGAAAGTTTTAATTTTAAAGAAGGATGCAAACTGCAAAGACGTAATAAACTAGTAAAAAATTTATAAACGTATTAAATAACGTATAAAATACTATATTTTGATTGTTTTAATGTAATCGTGGTATCTGTCACAGCACCAAAGAAGTTTTACTTCAACCACGCGTACAGGTTACACGTGCACATTTTTGTTTGTTATTGTCATGTGTGGGATTTACGATAGTTAGATAGTATATGTCCGAATATAAATTCAAATTCGAAATATTTTATTCAGCATTAAATTATTACAATGTTTTTACTGAACGTCATGAGTCTACTACCAGTTCGGAAAGAACAAGCCTCAGACCTGAGAAGAACTGGCGAAAGAAACTCAGCGGGACTAATATTAGTTCGTTATCTTTTGTGTAAGTTAAATTATAAATTACAATATTTTTATAATATTGAAGTAGCCTGGAGGCGATCACTTCATTCTCAAGGTGTGCCATCTTCTATTAAATCATTTATTGTATAATAGCCTTTGGCACACAAACGTTCTTTAACAATTTTTTTGAATTTGACTATAGAACATACATATATGTACATTTCTTCGGCATGCCTATAGTTTAAAAGGTGGCTTGATAATGCTTTACATAATATTCTCAGTTGTCGCTAGATTAGTCGATATATGTAGGTCTTATTTATTTTACACATACTCACAATCTATCTGTGTGATAAATTTGATCCAAATCCATCCAGCCGTTTCAGCGTGAACGAGTAACGAACAAACAAACACAAAAACTTTTGCATTTAAATTAGCAGTCACATAATATTTTTTGTACTTACCTTATCTCTTCTCTTCTGACTCCCATTTCTTTGAGATAAGAAAAATGTCTTGCACGGAATCGAACCTGCATTGACAATGAATTTTATACTAATAATTAATTAAATTAAATTCTTTTGTCAACACCTTCAAAGCGTGTCAGTTGTGTACAGATTACTTCTCCAATGTCACGTAGAATGGAGAAGACACGAAGGAAAATGGTTTAGTACTTACAAGTCGTTAATGTGATTCCCCCGTTGATTCGTTTAGGCTGTGGCGGTGTCATAAGTAAATCTAGATTCAGTACTCCGCTGCATATTCTACAAAATGGCAATATCCAAAAAATTTTATAACTATCGTTAGGTTAGTGTATGTCTGACTGACAAAGACTGAGTGTGGGTTCGATTCCAGTAAGTTAAGTTTCAGTTAACATCATTTGAATTAGTATATAGAGTTGCAAAAGCTTAAATTCGATACAAGTTAGTTAATATTAAATCCCTTAATTTGTATATATAGTTAAGAAATATTTGTATTAATAGATAACTGCTTTTCTTATAACACACACACACACAGAGGAGAAAGAGAGAGATGGTAGTGAGAGAGAGAGATGGGAGTATGAGAGAGAGGGAGCGATGTAACTATGTTATTTATACTTTTGGAGCAGAAATAGCTTTGAAAGAAAATAGTTACCTGTATTTCCTTAGGTGAACTTCTCCAGCCCTGGTCCGAGTCATACATAATTTAAGATATTTGGCAAAAGCCAATTCTGAAAGAATATTATTTAAGGAAACTAAATTTGAGTTATTACTAAAATTTCATTTTGAGTGGAAATCTAAGTCTTTTTCTAAAATGAAAGTAGCCTAAGTTGCTCCTTATAACATCAGCTATCTGCCTCGTCAAAGTCCCGTCAAAATCATTCCATCCGTTTCGGAGATTAATCGGAACAAACAGATAGACAGACAAAAATTTTGAACATTGTGTTTTTCTTATATCTATGTAGGTACCGTATATAATTAAATAGTAAAAAGCTGTTATTTTGACATTACAAACAGACACTTCATTTTTATTTATACGTATGTACGTATTATTTTTTTTTATTCTGCTTTATATGTAATCTCCTTCAACATTTTAACTAAAAAAAAGCAAATATTTGCTACACCAAAAGTCGCAGATTCAATTTTTTGTGGGGCTTATATTTCTATCGACCAAATTGTTATAATGGGTATTTAGCCATGTCTAGCTTAGATAATAAGTACTAAAAGTAACTTTGTATCATATTTGATAAGCAGATAGTGGTATATCATCATGTTTTATCTGTATGATTTTCTGCAAATCGAAAATTATTTATAACTAGCGATTCATCCTCGCTTCGCTCGGGTCGATTTTCGATTTCCGATTTTTCTGCTGTTTCTTTTTTGGGTTGTCCCCTATTTTTTTTCACTTTTTCATTTTTAAATCACCCTGACACACCCCTAACAAAAAAAAGTATTATTCAAATCGGTTCAGCCGTTATTGAGTTTTATTAAGACGAAACGAACGACAATTGATTTTTATATATGTATATTATGTATGTATAATTATAATTTTAAGTCACACATTCTTGATAATTCCAAACTAAATAAAACTAGTGTCAAAACTATCTTACACACCATTTTGTTCCCCAATAAATGTTCTAGGATCAGGTAAAAATGGCGGCTCCGCCATATTGAGATTTTCCAGTTCTTCTTTCTCCTTCTCATTCTTAGTGTATCTGTACAATAATATTTGATTAGTTAAATTTCTTTAGTTTTTTTGTATTTGTATAACTTTTTGTAATTTTTTTCTACTGGAAAGCAATTTTCCGAACTGAGCTATTTTAACGCAACAATCATCGCTCCCACTGAAAGAAACGCAACAGTGCAAAAGAAAACTAATAGTTGACCGAGCGAGCGAAGAGTCTCTGTCTCAAGTCTGGCAAAATTTACTTTCCTCTGTCATGTTTTTCCTCTGTCTGTCTGTTTGTTGGTACTCCTCGACAGGTCGTATTTTACAACCGATGTTGACGAAACTTTGTATATACTCGTATATACGTTTCACGACTTTATAGAATTTTTAGTCGTCGTCTATTTTGTTTCGAGGTGTACTTCCCCCAAAAAATGGCAGAAAGGAGGCTACTGGATATCTCCGCCTTATGATATTCGATTTCGATGGTTCTTTTTTTATTTAAAAAGTAGACTTTGAAGTTATTTATGTTGGTCTCACAAAAATTTGGTGAAAATCTGATGAGGATCATCGGCGCGAAAAGCTCCTCAAAATGAAATTTTTGCTTGCGAGTTCTACTGTTCGCAGAACTAATACTGTTAATTTAGTAGCAGTATAATCGTTAATTTAATAGCAGTTACGTTCTTGGATAAAAATCGCGACTGTTACCAAGTTATTTCGTTTCATGAAAAATAGAAAAGAATAAACGAGAAGGTGACTTTAACCTTCTACAGAGCCATCTAAAGAAGAAGAAGAAAGCTCTCTTATATCTACATAAAATTTGCTTTTTATAGCTAAACTTACGGATTAGCTTTTAAAAAAGCTTCAACTTCCTTTATCTTGTCGCGGATCTCTTTGTAGAATTTGTTTCTTATATCATCTTGCTCCTTCTTTAATTTGTACGTCTCTATGTGTTCTTTTACATTAAATACAAATAAATCTGCAAAGAATTATTGAGATAAAATTTAAAATTTTAGCTCTTTTACAAAAAACTAAAAAATCCTCAACTCAAGGTAAGAAAAACTTTTTTTATGAAAAAGTCTTATGGCCGATTTCACCAACGTCACCTAATTTTAAGGGATCCCCTAAGCATGGTTAGGGGGCTGTTAGGGGACAGTTTCTGTTTTATCGACAGTTAGGGGTCACCTAAAACTTAAAAATAATAATAAAATGCCACCTAAATATAGGTACTAGAAATACGGGCTCTGACGATGGTAAACGAAATTATAATCCAGGGGCTAGTTTAGGGGAACTTTTAAGCTAGGGATCTCATACGTAGGTGGTAGCTTAAGTGATGTTGGTGAAATCGGACATTAGTTTTTTCTTTGTCGCGGCTTCGCTCGCGTAATAAGCGGGGTGGGGTTCAAAGTCACAGGATTCTATGTATGTTCTTGTCAAATTTTATCGAAGTACGTTCAGTGGTTTAAGCCTAAAAAAGTAACAGACAAAGTTACATTTATATTTATAGCATTATACGGATTATAATGAAACCCACAAAAATGTTCATATTATTGTATATTGCAGAGTGCATACTACGAAAATGTAAAAAAAGTATGTATGTTGAAAATAAAGTATGTTTGTAGCCCTTTTTAAGCGTCTCACTGCTGGGAGTGCATCTCCCTGCATTACGAGGAGGATCAGGCTGGCCTAGTGGGAGTTGTGGGTGGCCTGTTCACCACGCTGGCCTAGTGGGGGTTGGACAATTCACATGAAGAACTTGCTAGGTTCTCTCAGACATGCAGGTTTTCTCACGATGTTTTCCTTCACCGTAAAACAAGTGGTACCATGTTAAGCATTTCCAATTCGCATATTTAAATATCAGAGGCGCGAGACTCGGATTTGAACCGGCTTCACTCCGTTTCCTAAGTGAGCGCGTTACCACTAGCTATGACTGCCTCAGAATAAAGTATTTTAAGTCCAATCCAGTCTTTTTAATCACTATTTGTGAATATTAATCACAAATAGTGAGTTATAGTGTATTCTAAAGACAATCTACATATTAAAAATATTTTCGTGCAGTCTCTACTACAGATCGAATGAGTTGAAATCCAAAACTCTTGCTATCTCAGTGACAAATTTTATCGAGATATTTCCAGTCATTGAATCGTATTTCTTCATCTAGTGACTGACAATCATATATAAATAATCTATTTTAAATAAAACTATGTTTTCGGATTTTTTGCGGATTTATTTTGATTTTTGTTTCCCGGCGCGACGTTTCGAATGTTTTACTCTTGGCAACTTACATGGTTACGGCAGAGACCAAGGTTTTAGACGTCTCAAAGGTAATTATATAACTGCTACAGACAATGCCTACTCATAAAATTATACAATGATTTTCAAAAATACAAATATGGCACCAAAGTACCCTACAATATTTTTTGTTTAAAATTAAAATTACCTTTGAGACATCTAAAACTTTAGTCTCTCCCGTGACCATGATTACTGTATAGCACTCGAAACTTCGGAAACCAAAAACCAAAATAAATCCGCGAGAAAATCCGAAAGATAGTTTTATTTAAAATGTCAAATATTTGCGTAAATTTAAGAAAGAAAAAATCTTCGAATTTACCTTCATATCTGTTGGGTATTTCTGCAGCTAATGCATAACTTCTGGAACTTTCACTAAGCAAATCTATCATGGAGCGAGCTGCGCGTACGCAGACGCAGGATCCGTCTATGGTTTTAGGTAGTTTGACTGCTACTTTCATTGATGGAAACGAAAGTTCCACTGGTTCCCTTATATGAAAAATATGCTTTAGATAATAAGATCTTTGTGGTCCGAATATGTGATGATGGGTTTGATCCTATGTATGTAGTAATTACTCGTAGTTTAAAAAAATATACGATATGTTTAGTTCAGTTTGCAGTGATCCTACTTCCTGTGCCCGCTGTCACGGGTTCGGGTCCCGCTACGGGAATCCATTTGTGTAATGAGCACAATTGTTTATACTCAAGTCATGGTTGATTATATTAATAATATGTATGTATTTAAAGTTATATATGTGTAGTGTATCAACTATCTGGTATCCCATAACACAAGCCTCGTTGCTTACCATGGAACTAGATGGAGCTGTGTGCAATAACACACATACGTTAACAATGACATTGAGACAATAGACAACATATTTATTTATTACTTCTAAAGAAATCTACGTAATGTAAGATTATTATATACCATACGTAAATGAGTTAAAATAGGAAAAATTATAAATTGTCTTTCGAGAACTTGCTAGGGTCTCTCAGACATACAGGTTTCCTCACGATATTTTCCTTCACCGTAAGACAAATGGTAATCACGTTGGAACTGATTCACACATGAAAATATCAGAGGTGCGAGATCCGTATTTGAACTCGCTAGACTCAGTTTCCCACGGGACCGCATCATCACTGGACTATCACTGCCACTTAAAAAAAAGGCTGTATACAAGTGTTATCTAATTTCCACCAAACGCACCTTTCAGGCTCCACAGGCTTAGGTTTCCTAGTCGGTAGTGGAACAGCTACCCAAAGATTTAGCCTTAGACCTTTAAACTCCCTTTGGTAAGTCGCCAGTTTTATTGAATCCCATTTCAGACGGTTCTCCAAATCCCGGAGGAGAGTGAAGGAAGCGCATTGGATTGCGTGGGATAGTTGTTCACGTAACGCTATTCGCACCTGGCGGAGAAAAAAAAAATGTTTAAAGTAAACTATCCCACGGGATGTAATTTATGTATTGGGAATAGATTTATTTCAAGTTAAACTTCTTTTGGCACGTTTGGAAAAAAATATGGGAGTAAAATTTTTACATTGCGCGCGCACACCGACAGCCAAATAGCGACATGATGTAATTAGCTCAAAAAGACATGATGAAGTTAGCTGCATTCCTTTTAAAAACAGAGAGTTGTGACATACGGGATGATATCTTTAGCTATTTATGTTCTGTTACGCCAAAGAAGTATAACTTTTTACGTGCGTACAGAAGATTTATTTATATTTTTTGTATAAATAAATCAAAATGATTACTTAGCAAAATAATACTCCTTTTAAATTCTCTTTAAAAATAATAGGTCCTCCCTACGATATGTTTTTTTATTTATATGGAGCCACTCTTGAGCAGGGGCGGCCTTAGCCATTGCGAGGCCCCGGGCAGGAGATCTTTGCGAGGCCCTTGTCTTTTATGAAATTTATGTGAATTGAAAATATTTTTAATGATGGTGCTTGGCGAGAAATGTAAAATTTATAAATAAATAAATTTAGAGTTTTAAAATTGTATATTAGAAATTTATAAAAGTTAGCAACCACAAAAAAGACAAAATTATTTTGTCAACATTTTTAGGTTTTGTACGCAAAAACTTGCCATTAATTCTATTAGCTCATTTTGAAGAATTTTTCAGAGATAGTGGACATTATTAGTATCTTTTTAGCAGCGCTAGATTCACACTAGGAGCATTCAGGGCTAGTGCTCAGGGCGGCAAATTTTTAGGGGCAGCAAAATTTGGAGGGTGGGAAAAAAATGTCTTCACGTTATCGAAAATGCTTTTTTTAGTTCCCAAAAAATGAATAATTAAAAAGACTAAGTAGTAGATATATTTTTCGAACAAATAATATCACTTATAAACTATTATTTTTGCATTTAAAAAAAAAATATCGAAACTATTCATTTTATGCAAAGCTGCGATAACAGGGCGGCATTTTTTATAGTGTCCAGGGGCGGCACTAAGGTTGAATGCGGCACTGCTCTTTAGAATTCACGAGCTCGAAGGAGCTCGGTTGTTTGGAAGGCTTGTGTGGGCAACACCGGTCCAACACGTAGAGACCACTTAAGAGATTTAAATGTTTAATATGACGCATCAACCGGCATCCATCTCTGAGTAACCCATAAGGAATTGCGTAAATATGGTTCCGGACAATGCGTAGGGACTATGGAAAATATGGAAAACTAAATGAGTCTATGGAATGGAATTTGGACGGGCTAAAAACTGGGATATTGGATGAGACTACCGAATGTCCGCCTTCTCAACAGTCTCAGATTCAATATTTGGCAGACGGTGACTCGCCTCCCACTAATGGCATAGTGCCCCGGGCACAACATCAGTGTGGTTGGCTACGGTTATCGAGAAGTGTTCACCGGTTTCACCATCACAAGTGCTCGTGGGTTTCCCCGTTATTTTACAGAATGAGCACTTCTACCCTCTCAAGGATTTGGCTCTTGCGCTTCACTTTGGGCGGCCAATGAAGGAAAGCCTCTGGGCTAAAGAGTTAATAGTTGTACAGCTTTTTAATCCGTTCTCTGAATTTAATAATCCGTTCACAATCCGTTCTCTAAATTTAACCGTTTTAACATACAATCTTTGTGCAGCCGAAGTCGTGAAACTTTAAATATTTACCCAAGTGTTTCCAATTGCAAAGTACTGCACTGGACCCAATTCTTTATATTCTATTCAGAACAATCGACAGAAGAAGTAAAAATCTCAGTTCGGTTTGCATCAGTAATTATTGATGGTCATAAAACCTGGGTCATTTTACGTATTGAGTATAAGATATTCAATTCCGCCACTCATGGATGTAGACGTAGATTTACTCGTAGATACGTATTTCTGGCTGGATAGTGTTGACGACGGCGGCGGCGGTGGAGTAACAATAATGTTGTTCACTTACTATTATCATCGCTAGGTAGTTACGGCATCCCAGATGATGTCGATAAAAATATTTCAGCTGCCTTAGGCTTAGAATGCAAAAACATGTCACTTTTAGTCACTGAAAGGTCTTAAGGACTTAGAAGCTTCTTGACCATCACCTTTTATATATTTATATATAGACTCATACAGATTTTCTTCTACCTGCTTTCTTTTGATGGCTTGATACCTTTTTGAACTACCAAACTCAATTTTTCTACTGGCATCACAATCGCGCGAACTTATTTAGAAAATATTTTTTGCACATAAAATTAATTAAAAAAATACAAGCAGTTGTACGCAGTCTTTTTACTAATTCATTCTTTACTATAATTACTATAATAACGTAAAATTTAATATTAATAGCTTATTGACTTAAATGCTACATGCTTGTACTGGCGGGATGTGGGTTTTGTTATGTCCGGCCTAAGGCAGGAGATTCATCAGAATCAACTGAAACCCAAGTGTATCAACACTTGGGTTGTTATGCGAAGGCGCGAGGCCCCTACAAGCGCGAGGCCCTGGGCGGTTGCCCTGCTTGCCACCCCCTAAGGCCGCCACTGCTCTTGAGGTATAACTTATTCAAAAAAAAAAGTTCAATTACGTTCTCCTTTTAAACTAAGTTCAATTAAAATAATCGATTTTCTAAAATATTTAAGTTGACTACAGGGCCGAATTAACCATGTCGGGGGCCCCTAGGCAATGCAATTCTCGGGGCCCCTTCATCTTTTTCTAACTTATTGATACAATATTTTTTCTATCACAATGCAATAATATTCGTAATTACGCTATTAGGTAGATTTCATAGAAATTTTCAAACATTTTCAAAAAAAAACTCGATACGTGAGGGCCCTAGCCGATGCGGGGCCCTTAGGCAGTCGCCTAAACTGCCTTATGGATAATCCGGCCCTGGCTGACTACAGTTCTATATACTAAACAATACTGACTAGTTATCTTTTAAAGAAATTTCTACCAACTTCGTTATAACTGATACTTTGTAACGCTGTATACTGTCTTGAATTTGCAACGAACTCTTCAAGCATTTCTAGCATCTGAAATAAATAAACTGTTATGTAAAAAATGGAAATATTTCAAAAACCTATGGATTATAACACTATAGTAGCACCTGAGCGTCATGATAATTTTCAGAAAAAAAAACACCAATATATATGTACATAGATTAAACTTAATCTAAATACAAAATTTGATCCAAATCGTTAGAGCCGAGCCGAAATAAATTTACATATATAAAAAAATAACTGCTCATTGAAGAATATATTTAAAAATATAAAATTCAAAGGCATTATGAAGAGTTTTCTTAGAATTTTATCCCAAACTCATTAAAGAATAACAAAATTTTATAGATCTCGGAATACTAGACCCAAAAGGAGATTTTCATAAAGTTTATGAACGATTTTTGTATCGTCGACTTGTGGAAATCGGTAGATTGTTGAATTGGACACTTTTCAGCATCTAATTAGCCCACCAAACCTTAATATGACGCACTCAAGGATTTCTAACTTATCAAAATATTTATTAGTTACTAGCGGCTCATCCTCGCTTCGCTTAGGTTCGCCTCTAGAAAAACAAAAACAAATCTATCCCACGGGAACCGTACATTTTTCCGGGATAAAAAGTAGTCTGTGTTTTTCTGATGTATGAGCTATATTATTGTAAAGTTTCATCAAAATCCATTCAGTAGTTTTTGCGTGAAAGAGTAACAAACATACATCCATACTCACAAACTCACACAATTTATAATATTAGTATAGATTCTGATCGGCTGCCCAAGACGGGCGACCTTATACAGAGGACTTATATATGGTGGAGGTACTCAACAGAGTCCAAAGTATACCCCATATATTAATCTACCGCGCTTGAGTAAACTCCAAAATCTCCTCTTGGGCTCACATACTAGAAGGTTTCCTAGCACTCCAGAAATTATTTACCGGTAAAGCTTCTTGGCAACGTCTTTCCAACTCGTTGTCATCACAGACGCCACTGTCCTTCCACACATGTATGTACGTGTTCATTTGCGTCACCACACGAGGGTCGGGGAGACCATCACAACGTAAGTACTGCTGCCACTGAAATTTTTGAAGAAAAAATTTACATATATTTCTATATGTAGAGCTATCAGAAAATAAACTAAATAGTTATATACGCGAGAACAAAGCTAAAATGAGTTTTTTTTTTAAAAAGTTTTTATTTCTTTATAGAAAAAAAAATGTTTGTATATATTTTTGATTTGGCCATTTATTTTGGCGGATTCCATTTATATAATTCTTTAGTCTAAGCTCACAACTTGAAAATATGCACCTATCTACGTAAAGACATAAAATAATACGCACTTCTGCCTCCAGTTGCTTTTTTCTTCCAAATTCAAATTTTTGCGTTTCAAATTCTGAAATTAATCCAAACCTCATTTTGGTATAAAAATAATTTTAATTCAATCGTGATTGATATACGAGTACAAAAACCGCACATAAAGCGACCCTGCTAAACTATTGACGACACGTTTGGCGCAGTTTGTGGTGACCCTACTTGCTGTGCCAGCGGTCGCGGGTTCGAGTCCCGCTGGGGGTATTCATTTGTGAGATTAGCACGAATGTTTGTACTCCAGTCATGAGTGTTTATATGCATTTAAAGTTATATATGTGTAGTGTATCAACTATCCGGTATCCATAACACAAGCCTAGTAGCTTACCATGGAACTAGATGTTGCCGTGTGTTAATGTCCCAATTTTATGAAAGAGGATATGGTAAGAATTAAGAAGAAGAAAAATAATTACATAAGGTTTTTTCTATTTTTCAAAGCCCTTTAAAGGTAACTTTACATTCCTTAAGGACAATTTTTTAAAAAAAACCACTCTTGATTTGTTATCACCTAAAATTACGAAACGTACACATAAAATACAATAGAATAATAAAAAAAATATATTTACTGTGAAATAGGGTAATGGTTTTCGCCAAGATATCCCTTCTAATATCTTGTTCGAGGTTATCTCGGGCCATCAGTTCTGCACGTTCTCGAGCCAGGGTTGCCCTCTTCTCCTTCGCACCAGCTAAAACTGCTTGCCTGTTGACACCAGGAATAAAAATTCGTATAAATTAATCATAGATTTCATAAAAATATGTAATTCACGAATATTTTTCAAGTTTTATTAGTTTTTTTTTAAAACCCGACACATCTTTATCAATGACTTTTAAGATATAAAAAAAAAATCGCCCGTGATCTTTGCCGTAAAGCATTCAAAAGTTAAGGGACAAAAAAAAAATACAACCGCGATAATATCTTTAAAAAATCTTGTTATTAGAAAAGACCTGCTTTTTTAATTTGCCTTATTTGGCTATTAAACAAGAGTATGTTTGTTGGTATAGAAATGGGTTGATTTGATTTTTGCGTAAAGATATAGTTATATAAAATAACAAGTTTTAAAGCCATAATAATATTATAAAATGTGAAAGTTTGTTAGGATGGATGGATGGATGTTTGTTACTCCATCACGCCAGAACGGCTGAACGGATCTGGATGAAATTTGGCGCAGAGATAGATTATAGTCTGGAATAGAACATAGGTTACTTTTTATTCCGGAAAACTGTACGTTTCCCGTGGGATAGATTTGTTTTTGTTTTTCGTTTTGTCGTTAGTACCAATTACCAAATAACTAACTATTTTGCACTAGTATAAAGTATTTTGTTACAAGTTACAACACTATCACCAAATGGACACAAAAACCAACTAACTTCTCCGCTTCTTTCTCCGCTCTCCATTCTTCTATTCTCTGCAGAAGCCAAGCTTCTCTTTCCTTCTTATTCATTTTTTTCCAATTCTTTGGCTGTTATTGAACTTTAATTTAATTTATTTCAAACAAGATTTTTCCCGCGGCTATGATCGCGTAGTTTACATATAATCACTTTATTTTATTTCATATTATGTTGTTTTTAACCGACTTCCAAAAACGAGGAGCGGACCGACTTCGAAAATATCTGATTAGGTATCTATTCTAAATAAAAACCCTATTTTAGTTATTTTTTTACATTTTAGTGCCTGGAAGTCAGTTTTTTTAAAGTTTTTATTATCTTGTCAATTTAGTAAAACGAAACGGCTGAACCTATTTTGATTGGGCTTTTACTGGCAGATAGCTGACGTTATATGGAGTAACTTGGAATATTTTAATTTTAAAAACAGAATCAGGATTTCGCGGAAAAAATTAAAATTTTTGAAATTGTGAACAAAATCCGCGTACCAAAATACTCGTAATCGCTAGTAATTAATAAATAAATAAAAAAATTGACCCCGCTTTGAGTGATCGTATGTTGGATAGTCTATAAATTTCAATGCGTTTAAATGAACAAAAAAAAAAGAACAAATATTTCATTATAATAACGAAGATTTAACAGAAATTTTAGCAGACTTATTACTAGTACTAGCGCACTACACTTTAATAAAATGTAATATAAAAAAATGATTTAAAAGTTAACAATTTATTTATTTAGCATTATTAATATTGAAAATTAATGAAACAATTTTTATGGAACTTTCGTCCATTTACATGTCTCTTATATAGCACAACACTCAGAAAAAAAAGTAGTGGAAGTCACAAAAAATTATAAATATATATATATATAGAAAAATAGTTTTCATTCATTTTTTTTATAACTCAAAAATACACGATTCTCCCTACATTTACGTATTTTTGTTTCAAATTTTTATTCCATACTGGTCGATCTTAGGAATATCCCCTAAAATTATATATGTAAATTATGTACGCCTTCAGTTCACATACGTTTATGGCTTTGACATAAAAACGGTATCGATGTAATTTATCAGTTATCGAATCTAAGGGCTTATTCATATGGTGGCTTTTTAACGCGCTGTCGTCGCGCGTTTGACGCACAGTGAAAAAATTGCGCGTTTTTGTCGAAACAAACGCAAGCAATTCGTATTTTTATAATTTACTAGCATTGCCCGTGACTCCGCCCGCGTTCAGTTGACCAAAAACCAAATTCTTAGGTTTTACATATTAGTATACTCTTACAATGCAGTTTTTGTGTTTTTCTCAGAAATGAGATATTTTCCCGCGGTAAAAAGTATCTTATATGTTGACCCGGATAATCAGCTATCATTATACCAAATTTCATCAAAATCTGTCCAGTGGTTTTCTCGTGATGCGGTAACAGAAACAGATAGACAGACAGACAAATATTCTAAAAAGTACAGATTCGGACTCTGTATCTATAATAATGTCTATTTCAATTAGATTTTCCAAAAAATATTTAATTCGACTTAGTTAGAATTTTATTATATGTATAGATTAGGTTAGAAAACGCACAGATGTGGTACTTTCATGATAATCCATTGTTGGTGCGTTTATAAAACGTGATATTTATAGATACAAATATATAAAAAGAATATTAAATATAATTAATTCTATTAAATAATCTAAATTTACCTTTTCAAAAGCCGGTATTTCTTCTTTTAACTTCTTGCCTTTCTTCCCTTTCTTCTTTTTTACCACGACCTGTTCTTCTTCAACTTTAGCCACTTGCTCTTCTGCAATCAGAAAAAAAATGATAAATAAAAAAAACTGTATTTACATAAACGAAACTTTTAAATCACTTTTAACTTTTTCAGCTAAATATTGTTTTAGCATCAATATTTAGCTATTTTAATTTGGATTATATTTAAAAAAACTATACTAATATTATAAAGAGGTAAAGTTTGTGAGTTTGTGACGTTGTAGAAGGTAATCTGTGGATCTACTGAACAGATTTAGATGAAAGGTAAGAATAGATATATAGATAGTTTGAGACCCTGGGTAGGACATAGGATACTTTCCATCCCGGAAACCATCCCTTAAAAATGGGAATGAAAGTTTGTATGGGGAATCAAGCTAGGGACGAACCCGAACAAAGCGAGGGTGAGTCGCTAGTATAGTATATAGGAGTTGAGTGCAGATCTTGTAGTTTATACCTATTACCTAACATTGTCACGTAATATTGTAAGAAAAGGAGATTATTGATAAAACTCCGGATAGTTATAAATTCACGGTTTTTACAATTTACCTGCGACATATATACATACATAAACGCACATATACACACAAGCACACACACACAAACTGCATGCCATTTATAATAGCAGTGTATATGATAAATAATATGACTCACCTATTGGTAAAGATTCTTCAGACCACTGAAACAACTCGCTACTGGTCTTCTTCGCCACTTCTTCAACAGCCTGGAAAAATATTTTTATAGGTTTAACGGTTAGTATGGAACCGATAGACTATACATATAATATATACATAGGTATGATGAATTGTTGTGGCTTGTATTATAAAGTGTTTTCTCTTGGGAATGACATAATCTCGTGAGGTAAAAAGTAGCCTATGCCACTCTCCAGCCCTCCAACTATCTCGACGTAAAAATCACGCCAATCCATCACTCTGATGTTAAAAAGAAAGACAAACAAACATTCAAACAAACACTTTCACGTTTATAATATTAATTAAAAGTATAGATAGTAAGTTGAATCGCAGTTTGACTCTTCATAACGAAATGTATTTTATCAAAATCGGTTAACTTACTAAAAAAAGTGGACATTTAAGATAAAGCGGGAAAATTATATAAACGTCATCACTTTACTATTGACATTTTCATAAATATTTTTATAGAAACAAACCTCGTCAGCTCTCTTCTTTCCTTTCTTCTTTTTTGGTTTCGGTTCTAAGAACAGAAGGAAAAATCATATAATACTAAACCCAATCTTGCATGGCAACAATTTACTAAGCTTAAAATACTTGATCCCTTTAATTAACTGTCAAAAGCTAAAAAAGAAAAAAAATGTACTAAATATTTTAACTGAATTAAAAAAAAAGACAAAAAAAGATTCAACATATTGAAAGGGTCTTTTTCCTCATCTTTTTTTTCTTCTTTCTATTAATAACACTAAAGCTCATCAATAGCTACTAAACAAAAAAAAAAGAAAAAGTCACTAAGATTGATCCACAATCAATGAAATTTCCGCGTGCTTTATACACAAATAAAAACATTCGAATTTATAACCTCAAAGTAAAAAATATATACATACATACGTGTCAAATTGAGAAGCTCCTCCTTTTTTTCGTCGGTTAAAAATTATTAAAAAAACATCACCCCTATAAAGATTTTATCCTGCCCAGTAAATATGTGAAATCGAGTAATTTGTATACGACGTGATACTTCGATATTTTTTATTACTAACTTATTGTTGTGAGGGAACGCGGTTGTTAGGCAATCGATTAAACAGAAGGAAGAATTGAACACTTTCTACATAGGGTATATTACTCCAGGACATACTCAATCTGTGTATGTATATATTCAGCCCTTTTAACGTCCCACTGCTGGGGGTGGGCCTCCCTTCGGTACGAGGGGGATCAGGCCAAAGTCCACCACGCTAGCCAAGTACGGGTTGGCGGACTTCACATGTCTTGCTCAGACAGGCAGGTTTCCTCACGGTATTTTCCTTCATCGTAAGGCAAGTGGTAATCATATTAGACATGATTCGCACATGAAAATATTAGACGTGCTCGGTATTTGAACCCTCTTCACACGGTTTCGCTGCTCCTAAACTACCGCTGCCTACTAAATTTCGTCCAAATCTATCCAGCCGTTTCAGCGTGAAGAAGTTATTAAAAGAAGAGAAAGTACGAGTATGTAACAGACATACAAACACATACATTTTCACATTTATAACAGTTGTGTGATTAGACTGAAAATGTTTTTAATTATATATCCAAAGTCCAGAAGGAACCCGTTTTGGCCTACTAAGGCTTAGATTTTATCCGAAGGGTTCCTTTCAAACAAATCCTAGCTATGCTATTATAAATTTGTCTGTCTTCCTATCTTATCATCTTTATATAGATTAAAATATTCAACTTACTCATTTTGGGCTACCATCGGAAACTTAACAGAAAACCTATTAATTTTCCAATGACCTGGGATCTGAGTCTATAGCCTCTGTTAAAGTTGCTAGCAGTTAAAAATAGAAACTAGATATCTAGATTGACTATAAGGGCAAATCTACATCGGACGGTTAAATATATTATACCTTCAATAATAGGTGGCAAAGATTCAAATGAAGCACTAGTGTATGAAGTGTCAGTGTATTGTACTTCTACAGGCTCTGGTTCCAAATTCGTTGTAGCAACAAGGACCTCATCTTGAAGCTCAGCATCTGGTTATAATCAATGATTGCCTAATTAATACATAATTATAAAATGCTTTGATTTTTAAATATTATGTTGGGACATTAACACACATCACCATCTAGTTCCATGGTAAGCTACGAGGCTTGTGTTATGAATACCAGATAGTTGATACACTACACATATATAACTTTAAATACATACATATTATAAATATAAATACCCATGACTGAAGTACAAACATTCGTGCTTATCACACAAATGAATGCCTCCAGCGGGACTCGAACCCGCAACCGCTGGCACAGTAAGTAGGGTCACTACAAACTGAGCCAAACGTGTGTGTTTGATTATATTAGTATATGATTGCTTATGATTATCTATACTATTATAAAGATAAAAAAAATGTTTTTTTGTATGTTTGTATGTTTGCTTTTAATGGATAAACTAAAAATCTGCTGAACCAATTTAAATGAAATTTGGTATGAAGATAGTTTAACACCCTGGGAAGGTCATAGAAGTTTTTATCTCAGAAATCATCCCTTAAGAGGGACAACGTCACAAACTCACAAATTTTACGTTTATATTATATTAGTATAGATTTTTGAATGCTTTAAAGTAATCATTTCAAATCATTCTTTTCAAAACATTTGAAACGTCGGGAACCAAAAACTCAAAATAAATCCACGAAAAAATCCAAAAAGATAGTTTTACTTAAAATATCGAATATTCGCGTAAATCTAAGAAAGTATTATATTATAATGGCTTTCAAATTAATTTTCGTTCATAACGGAGGTTTCCAATATCACTAGTCAGTAGCCAGTTAAAATGAGCGAAAAACTAAATAATCCTATTTGGTCACACCCGGATTCGAACTCAGGACTATCAAGACCTTCAATATTTACGAGCGTATAATTAAAAAAAGAATATAAAAAAATATACAGAAAAATACCTGGTGCTTCAGCTTCCGGTTCAGCCTATAAAAAAGATATTTATTAGTTTTTTTTTTACCTTTTTTCCTCATATTTACTTATAGCAAGCTGACTTGATATAAGTCGTCCTGTTTAAATTTATTTGTGGTCTTTAAGTTTTTTTCAGTTCAAAACGATATTTCGACAATTAAAAACATTTTAAGAAGGAAATTAACCAAAATGGACCGACTCATCTAAAGTGATGTACTTGCCAACAAACAGCATTTCATTTTGTATAGCACTAGCGATTCACCCTCGCTTCGTTTGGGTTCGTCCCTATGTACGTTTTAACGGATAGAACGAAACAGATAGACGTCCTCAATAAACGGGCTATCTAATAGAAAAAGATTTTTTCAAATCCAATTAGTAGTTCCTGAGATTAACGCGTTCAAACAAACAGACAAAAAACTCTGCCTCTTTATAATATGTATTAGTATAGATTCTTGAATATGTCTGTACATATGTCTTAAGTTTCATTTTTAAATTTGAGATTTTTATTTATTTACGTTATAATAGCTTACGATTTCTTTACTTCTCTCTAGGAAAGTTATAAAAAAAATGTGCAATCTTTTGGCATCATTTTTTAAAACATAAATAGATCCACCTCATATTTATATATATATATATATATATATATATATATATATATATATATATATATATAATCTATATATATATATATATATATAAATATATAGAAGTGACACTTGTATAGAATCTACGAAGGTGACATGTTACTCTGCCTGACCTGGTTGAGAAGACTGGCCTCTTCACCATTCTACGTAATATTGGCGAAGTAATCTGTGCTCAACTAGCACGCTTTAAAACCATTAACAAGATAATTGAATTAAAGACTACAAGGAGGTGTAATTGCTGTAATCATATCAATTTTAGTTTTAATTATTTTACCTTTAACATTTAAAAAAAAAATTCAAGGTATTTAATTTTATCCTATTAACCAAATTTTATTTTGATTTATAATTATAACTATTATATTATTAACTTGAATTGGAGCTCGCCACAATATTTATTTAAAAAGAACGCCTGATAAAACTAAATAGCAACCGCTGTCTCAAGTTTCGGTTTAACGATTGGTTGCTTCTTTAATAAACTTCTTAAATACATATTATTTATTACTAGCGACTCACCCTCGCTCCGCTCGGGTTCGTCCCTGGGGTGGGGTCTGGGAGGACCGCCCTTATCCTTATCACTTAGGGGTATGAAAAATAGATAGTAGTCGATTCTCAGACCTACTGAATACGCATATAAAATTTGGTAAAAATCGGTAAAGCCGTTTCGGAGGAGTACGGTAACTAACATTGTGACATGGAAATTTTATATATAAGATAATATTAAAATTTCGAGTATCTCGAAAACAGATCCAACGATTTGAATCAAATTTTGTATTTATATAAGCTTTTGCTTTTTAAGTACATATAATTATATATTTCTGAAAAAAAAAAAAATTATATCTTTTCCGAAAAACCCCGAACGAAGCTTGGTCATATATAGTTTCAGTTTTCAGTTTTTATTAGTGAAAGAACAATAAAATAATGCCCCCGATCCATACAAAAGTATCATTTCTACATTCTCCTTTCCTTTCCTGTCCTTTTGGATCTTTCCTATTTTCCATGGTAAATTCTAATCACTTTACAAACAAACCCTATAACCTCTCACCAAAAATTAGCAATGATACTATTTTCCATGGTAAATTCTAATCACTTTATAAGCAAACACTATAATCTGTTACCATAAATTAGTTTTTTATTTAATAATTATTATGATACACTTTTACAGACCTTTTTATTTTTATCTTTTTTAGCCATTTTTATAAATATATCAAAAAACGATACTTAATTATTTTAAAAATATAATATTGGTAAATTTCTTCAAATGTCAACAACCTTAACCAATTAGTATTTACACAGAGTATATATATTATAATTTAAGGTATAAAATGAGGTGATACTGTAAAAAGGTAATATATAAATTAATTCAAACAAAAAATTGGTATTTAGGTATGACGTGATGGAAATTCACGTTTTACATATTAAGTCAACAAATTATTATCAATCTTTTTGTGGTCCCAGAAAAAATATTTATACCTAAAACAGATATTTCAACAAACATCAAGATGTGTTAAATCAAACTCAAATTGAACTTTTCAACCGACTTAAAAAAGGAGGAGGTTCTCAATTCGACTGTATGTTTTTTTTTATGTTTGTTACCTCAGAACTCCGTCATTTATTAACCGATTTGAACAATTTTTGTGTTGTTTGAAAGTGTATAGCTATTTGCTATATTAGCTTTGGCTAAGTAATTAAAGCCTACCTATTAAATACATACCTAATCAAATATTTTCGAAATCGACTTCGAAAATATTTGATTAGGTATGTATAGTAAATGAAAACTACCAATCAGTTATTTTTTACTTCTTAGTGCTTTTGTTTAAAGTCGGTTTTTATTTTTTTGTTAACAAGTTTTTATAATTTAAACGTATCGAGATGCCGAGTTCTAGAAGTGCGAAATTTTTCCATTTTTTTTTATTAAAATAACATCACACGGCATATAAAGGTAATTCATTGACGAATCCTCTTTCTAATGTGGAAAATTTGTATGAAAATCGGTATAGTAGGTTTTGAGATTGCCTCAAATAAACACAAACTCAGCGCGGAAACTTCAGTCAGTGTGTGTGCAGTACAGTGATAAGTTTATACTTGGGCCAACAATTAGAATATTTTTTACTACTGGAAAATCTTACATTCCCACGGGAACACAACTCTTAGGTTACAATTGTCTAACGCTAGCTAAAACATAAGAGATATATCAAAACAATATACTAGAAAAATCTGCAATGGTATAAGTATTTATTCTAAGGTACACTCGCAGTTGCTATTCATATCTCTTTAAAACGCACCTAGGGACGAACTCAAAGGAAGCCAGGGTAAAGTTTGTGAGTTTGTGACGTTGTAGGGGGTAATCTCTGGATCTACTGAACCGATTTAGATGAAATTTGGTAATAAGATAGTTTGAGACCCTGGGGAGGACATAGGATACTTTTTATAACGGAAATCATCCCTGAAGGCGGTGAGAATGGGGATGAAAATTTGTATGGGGAATCAAGCTAGGGAAGAAATCGAGCGAAGCGAGGGTGATCGCTAGTATAATATAGAGTTGTTACATATTGTTTTATATAAAATGTAAAATATTTACGTAACTATTTCTTAGGTTTACGCGAATCTTTTATTTTTAGATTTTTCTTTTCTTAAATTAGTATTTATTACATATTATAATTATATTAATACTAATGTTATAAATGTGAAAGTTTGTGAATATGGTGTTTGTTACTTTTCACACCAGAACGGCGAACGGATCTGGATGAAATTTGGCACAGAGATAGATTATAGTCTGGAATAATACATAGGCCACTTTTTATCCCGAATAAAGTGTACAGTTCCCGTGGGATATGTTTGTTTTTGTTCTTTTTACCCAAGCGAAGTAAGGGTGAATCGCTAGTTTTGTAATTATGTTCAGATTAGTTTTGTAATCTTAAATAAAGAATATCAAATAGGGTAGCCATTTTGAATATACTTTTTTTTAAAGTTAGGCTACACAAAATATATTGTATACAGATGTAAGTAGAAGTCTAACAGAGTGAGTGAGACAGCAAGCGGCTGCTTTTATCTATTTTTCTTCTTCTTACTTCTAGAACCTTATTGAGTAGGTTTCATTAAAGAAGTAATCACGAAAATTGGCACATATGTCCATAATAATATATGGCATAATATAAACATAAAAAGATCATACACCCGAATAGAGTTTGTCATTTTTAAAATCGTTTAATAAAATAACTAAACATGTTAACTAACCATCTAGTTCCATGGTAAGCTACGAGGCTTGTGTTATGGATACCAGGTAGTTGACACACTACACATATATAACTTTAAATACATACATATTATAACTATAAACACCCATGACTGGAGTACAAACATTCGTGCTTATCACACAAATGAATGCCCCCAGCGGGACTCGAACCCGCGACTGCTGGCACTGCAAGTGTCGTCTAATTAATAATCGCTGATTCGATGTAACCGAGTAAATATTAAAAGTGTTCTGTTATGTCTAGAGTATTTATGAGTGAGCATCATATTACTTCTAAGGAAAACTATACACAGATAGGTACATACAGAAATAATACGTAGAAAATTGTATACGCAATTTTTCATTTCAACCTCTGGAGACCATAAAACATACTTTTCTCGGAAATGGCTAAACATTTCAATTTCATTTTTTTTAATTTATTATATTTATTTTGAAGATAACACTTAGTTTCATGGGAATCAAAAGATTATTCTAGAAATTAAAAATATAAAATCAAGAAACAGTTACAAACCGAGTTTTTTTGCAAATATCTCGAATACTTTGAGGTTATTCTAAAAAGTAGGTATTATTTATAAAAGTTGTAAATTTTTACTAGACCTACAACTTTTGTAGAAAATATTTTTCGATAAAACATAACAGTAAGCCGGAAATTGAAAAAAACTATTTTTCAACACTTTGCGTCCCCCAATTTCTCGGTGGTAGCTGGGCATCGGGGGCATTTTACGAATTTCTATTCCTTAAATACCTTACATTTTAAAATAATAAAACTTCAGGTTTTCAATATTTTGTTCACAAACCGGATTCCAATTGGACTATTAGCATAAGTAACCTATTAAATATAAAAATATTTTTTTTGACTCACAGTTTTAGAGATAGCGCACTCAAGCGCAAGAGAATAAAAGGCAAATAAACACTTACAGGCTTAAAACATTTGCATATCTTCAGATTAAACGAAGTAGAACGAACGTTTAATATATTATAAAATTCACTTGCACTGGACGAGTTTTAAGAAATAATATCATTTTAATTTGTCTAAATGGTTTATAAATTACTAGCATTGCCCGCGGCTCCGCCCGCGGTCGTTTGACCAAAAACCAAATTCATAGGTTTTACATATTAGTATAATCGTACATTGCAGTTTTTGTATTTTTTCTCAGAAAAGATACATTTTTCCGCGGTAAAAAGTATCCTATATGTTGACCCGAATAACCAGCTATCACCATACCAAATTTCATCAAAATCCCTCCAATGGTTTTTCTGTGATGCGGAAACAGACAGACAGACAAAAATTCTAAAAACTATAGATTCGGCCTCTGTATCGATAATAATGTTTATTTCAATAAGATTTTCCAAAAAATATTCAATGTACAGATTCGGCTTAGTTACAATTTTATTATATGTATAGATTGTGTTTAGTTTTAATCTAGTACTTATAAATTTATTTCTATTGAATTTTTAGCTATACAGCATAATCCACTCTGTACATAGGAAGGACTAGATGTATAACAGCTAAAAGAAAAGTAAAGGTTAAGTAAGAACTAATGAGATATATTCGAAATAGGTGAGTTTTTCAAATGTTTATAAAAAATATATGTCTACATTTATATATAAAATAAAGTGTATGCGTCCCAGCATAGAGCCCTGTGGTAAGCCGTCATTAATTTTATCACAATGGTCATTACTAGCGTTTTATAAGAAATATCTAGTTTTAAGGTTATAAGAGACCATTAAAAAGTCTGTTTTTACCAGAGCTATCCAATTTTGTTATTAGAATGCATTTTCAACATCGTATGTTTGTATTCATTTGTTATAAACCTAATGATTTGCATCTTATATATACTATAAAAGGCAGTGGTAGCCCAGTGGTAACGCGCTCGCTTGGGAAACCGAATGAAGTGAGTTCAAATCCCGGGTCTCGCACCTCTGATATTATCGTGTGCGAATCATTTCCAACATGATTACCACTTGTCTTAACGGTGAAGGAAAACATCGTGAGGAAACCTGAATGTCTGAGAGAACCTAGCAAGTTTTCAAAAGACATGTGAAGTCCGCCAACCCGCACTTGGCCAGTGTGGTGGACTATGGCTTGATTCCCCTCGTGCTGAAGGGAGGCCCGTACCCAGCTGTGGGACGTTAAAGAGGGCTGAATACATGTTTGTATATCAAAAGCATCGTTATCGCCTAACTGAATTGACATATGGTAGTTAGCGGTTTTAAAATGTTTGTAAATATCAAATGTGTAGTAGAAAATAAAAACTTAATTCATTTATTTATGATGACACATTGGGCTCAGTTCGAGTCAGGGTTCTAGTCCCGCTGGGGGCATTCATTTGTATGATGAGCATGAATGTTTGTACTCCAGTCATTGGTGTTTATATCTATAATACGTATGTATTTAAAGTTAGATACTTATGTGTAGTGTATCAACTATCCGGTATCCATAACACAAGCCTCGTAGCTTACCATGGAACTAGATGGTGCTGTGTTAATGTCACAACATATTTATATTTATTTTTGTATTTAGTTTGCAGCTAAATACCTAGCTGCTATACTAGTTGACCCTATATTGAAAATCCCTATAAGCCCTGTCCCATTTCCAACTGTCAAGAAAATTTTAACAATGAAAATTGATAGCTATATGTTTTTATATGAGAATTCCAAAAATAATAATTGGTTGAAAAACAAAAACTAAATCTAGCATTCGACAAAAACGCCATCTGTCGGATCTAACTACAGTTAAGTACCATCCAAGTGACTCAAAAAAAATTATCAAAATTATTCAAACTGCTTAGAAGAGACTGACAGACAGTAGTTTTCCTTCACCGAAACCAAAAATTATGTTAAAAAGTATTCTGATGAAAAACTCGCTCATATGATGAAAATATTAGAGATGTGAGACCTGGATTTGAACCCGCCCCACACGATTTTGCAAGCGAGCGCT